GTGGACAATTCCCCCCGGACAATTCCGCCAGGACAATCCCCCCAGTCGCCCCCCTCCGACAACCCCCAAGACAACCCCCTTTCCAGGAAAGATATATACACTGCTTTTGAATTATTTATTTATTTGAGGGATTTCTACATTTCTGAAATATTTTACTGAAAATAAGAAAGGAGAAAATGAAATAAAAACAAAACTATTGCCTATTTTAACAAAAATTAGATGGGTGAGATTATCTGTTTACCCCTCCTTTACCTGGTGATGGAAATTATCCGGGGGTTACTTGTCCATACAAATGACAATAATTATTTAAAGTCCAAGTTAATTACATACGGTGGCTGGCTGTCATGACAAGTGACCTTATCAAGGACATTTTTGTGTACGAACATTTGATAAAAATTATAAAACTTCTTGGAGCTGAATACCCTGCAAAATGATCAAACAGCTGCAAGCGAACTTTAATTCTTGGGAGTGTTTTAAAATATGCTTTTGGTTGACATTTTACATCATACAACATAGTTTAAAACTTTTGAAAAAAAAAAGATTCATGATGGAAAGTGTTCGAGGCACTACACACGCATCCCGGATACAGTGTCAAGGTTACGATACAGCTATCGTCCCTTTATCAGTTCGTCATAAAATACTTGCGGTAAAAGTAGGCAGAAATGTAAACTTTAAAACTACTTCTAGGGGCTTGCCACTGTGTTGATCCACTTGGTTGTCTACGACAAATTTGAAAAAAGAAAAGAATATCATTTCCGCCTTCTATATTTAGAGTGGCCAACCCAAGTTAATTTCCAGGTAGGGACCAATTTTGCGTATTCCAAAGTCGTTACATAGTAAATTACTACTTTGTAAGCTTTTCCTACATGTTAATTTGTGGGTTTTATCGGTTCTCTTCAAAATAATTTCTAATGTAAAGTGTTTCTTGCTCAAATTCCTTCTGAAAAACAGCGTTGTCAATGCATTATAACATGTTTGCTTATTTTTATGACTCAAGAATAACTACAATGCATTAACGGTTGCATTGCTGAGACGTCATCGGCAAATTACTGTCTTATCAAACCTCGTTGAAGTCGCCCAATTTTTGTACGTTGGCACGGTTATAGTAGAACGGGCCTACTAGTATGTTTTACGTCCAAATACAAGGTACACAAGTCACCCATTGCGTATTTTTAATACATATCGCTAAATAGGGAGTACTGCATGCGTGTAGCAAAAAGGGAGGAAGGAAGCTAGGTCCATGTGGCGTTTTTGTTTTTTTTATTCAATTCCTACAACGCTATAAAACCTATATCGAAAAGCCGACTTGTTATCGAAGCTAAGCCGTTTTCACGGACCCTAAAGAGATTTATTAGATCTTGTAAAACGCACTCTTTAAATTGAAAATAAAATTGGTATTGGTTCCCTCGCGGAAGTAATAAACACTGACATCTCGCTAGAGGACACGTCGTGTCCTGAGTCCATTAACCGTAAAAAAGTGCTTAGTTATGTTAATGAGGAAGTAGGCGCACCTGATATACCTGGTATATAAACCAGAAACGTGCACGGTTCTTAAAACATAAGATTGTGAAGGTCCGCTTTAACAGTTGTAGAGTATGAGTATGACAACCGCGATGAAGCACCTTTGTGTTGCGCTTGCATTCGTGATGGCTTTAGAATGCTGCGGCGTTTTAGGTAAGTAATGCTCACTTTTTATTGTAAACACTAAAGGCCCCCTCCACGGAATCTACCCGCCCTCTGAACGTGATTTACTCCTCAAGAAAAGGGCAATTTCCTCCTTTTTGGGAATTATTGGTCGACCCATCTCTGCACTTGGGTTCTATGTCGTATGACCGTGGGGATTTTCAAACGCGTGGAGAGTACCTTTCAGTACAGTGCGGGTTCAGGATACCATTAAGCACTTATTTTTCACAAATTCAGCTATGTTACGACATAGGGGACCAATAAAAAGAGCAAAGTAACCCATTAAAACTGATTTTATCTAGCTGTCATACTTTTCCCTAGGTGCCTATGTTCACCTTTTTAGTCAATCAAAGTACTCTTTGCGAGAGAGAGAGAGAGAGAGAGAGATTAGACACATTACTGAATTTTTATGTCCAAAGCGAAACGCATTATTGTCGTCTCCCGTAGTTACAGATAATATTCCACAAACGCTATATTTTGATGCAAAATAAATAAATAGAAGGCCTACTTTTCTTTTTTTAAATTTCAGGTAGACTTGATTGGGTTAAAGTTGTGAAGCGTCCGGCGTGCAAGCGTTTCGACGTCACTGTGTATATCGACTGTGATAAACCTCTGATTTTGTACCGCCCCTCCAACAGCCAGTTTTCCATGTTGTGCCGTTACTGTAGAGAAGGGATTAAAAGATACTGGTCCAGAGGAATTTCCTATGCTGGAAGTACTTGGAAAGTGAATGTCAACACAGTTTTAAGAAGCAGAGGTGACAGGAAGAAAATTAAGGTGTGCTTTTTTCTCTCAGCAAGATTTGCATCAAACCATTATTTATAAAAATATGTTTTATTTAAAATAGATATACTATTGAATTCATTGGTTATCTTCCAGCGATTCCAGGTACAGTTTTTAGTTTTAATATTCAGACCGTAAAGGCACCGTAAAGCTGATTTTTGCGCACAGATTACGATAAGCAGACTTTTCAGGTTTAAGAACGCCAATATTTGGATACTTGTTTACAGTTCCTATACCAAATTTTGGCTTGAAAATTACGATTAGCGGACTCATCAAGACATTACAGCAAGTTTTGGACACTTATTTTCGAAAAATTTCGAAATTTAAAGTCATTAAACCGGATCAACACGCACATTAGGGCATTATTTTTTCATAAGCGCAAGAAGTTGAAATGTGACTAGGTACAACCTGTGTAAAGATAAATTGGCAATAAAAACCCCTCATTCGGCCTGTAACGTGTGATTTAACACGTTTAAAGTTAACTTGTCAAAACGCATCTTTTGCGCGGGTTTTTAAATTTTTATCTCACAATTTCAGCTTCAGTGGCGAAAATCATCTAGTCGTTCACACAATTCTGACATCTTGAAAATGACGGTGAAATATTTGAGCAAGAGAAGTGATGCTGCTGCCCTCTTCAAGGAGACCTGCGCTCATGAGATCGGCCATTCTTTTCTCAGAGATGCCCACGGCATTAAATACAGTTGGGGACATAAAGGTATTGGTTTGATTCAAATCAGCATTACATAGATATTGTGCGGACGTTTTCTGCAAGATTTTTGGCTTCTTCTCGGGGCCTACCGTCCTGTCCTAACTATAACTATCCAACTCCATGTTTTTGTACGACCGAAGAATGGTGAACATCCAAATCATGTTTGTACAGGGCAGGGTAGTTTATCATTGAGGAGGTTTACAGGTCCGTATATGTTGACCGATCACTTTAGTTGCAGCAAACAAACTGCAATAAGGACTGTATGCAAAAGAGAATAAAGAACACGTAAACCAGATAAAAAAATAACTGCAGCACCATTGACTTCTATTAAGGAGTCACGGGAGGAAAGAGGGAGAAAAGGATATACCTTTCATATTTAATGAGGGAGCACGCGCACACACACTCACACGAACGCACACTTAACCACGTAACTTCTAAACGAACACATAAATGTACACTATTTAAAAATTTTATATTTCTTTTAATTGAAGATTTCTCTAGCATTAATCTACTATTTGGAAGTACTCCAAACTTATAAAGATAGGAAACAAACGTTGGCACCCTTTAGAAATCAATTGTTTATTGATTGGAATAACAGGTACCTATAAAAAGCCATTTTTTAACAAAATCTTTTGATTTAAAGGTACCTCAAGCATCTTTGGAGGAAGAAAATCAAGTGCGCCATCTTACCCCAGCAGCGGAGAGATAGACCTGATGAAGTACTACAAGGGCAGTGCCAGTAATTTCTATAACAGAGTGGTCGCCGCCGAAAGTGATGTGGAGGATTTAGTGTTCAAAGTTAGAGACAGTTACACCACTAATTCTGGTAAGATGTTTGATATTCTAGGTGAACGTAAACACTTTTCGAAAAGGTACCGATATGACACTGACTTTACTCATAAATTCCAAATATCTCTTGCAAATAACTGATGAACATTTTCAAATGGATGATGACAGAGTAGTAATCCTTCACTCAACCGCTTAGGGAATCCTTTTTAATGAAGTGCCTTTTTATTTTGCAGGTAAATGTTGATTGTCAGGCTTTCCCTTTACCTTTTGAGAAAAGCTGAAGGAACGTATTCGAACAGAACTGGGACGCTTTTGAGAAGAGTGCAAAACTATAACTGTAACTCTTTTTAGAGGTTGTATACCAGACTTTTCCGAGACAAACCAACCTCCATTAAAGCTATTCCAAATAATAAGAATCTGTCACACAGATATTTCTCTATTTCTGTGCACATTTCAGTGCTGTCCAGCGATAATATCTACATTAAATTTGACGCTATTACTCAACTGTCTGGTAAGCACAGGGACAGAAGGTCTCAGTCTCGTTAAGAGAACTAGAATTACGCAGACGATTTTGGCGTATTTAAGACTAACATTTTAACAAAATATAAATTTATAATAATCCATACGCCAAACAAAATGGTTTTCATATCAATATCTTTTATATTTTTTATTGTTGAAGATTTGAAAATAAAATCAAGGCTTTGGGAGTTTTTCACCATTGCATACTTTATAAAAAAGCACTTTTTTGTGTCTCCATTGTTTACACACACTGCCTCGCTGTCTAGAAAACAGTACTGTCTGGCAAAATGCGGAAATTGAAGTTAAAATGTCGGCTCCTTATTGCCCAAAACAACATGATTTTAAAATTTGCACCCTCTGCAATATACCTTTCTACGACTTCCAACGTATTCTTCAAATTATGATGTTTTTGTGACACCGAATATTGGTGGGGTGAGGAGAGATTCCCTTCGATACACATAACACTATAAATACAAAGAGCATCCCCCTTAAAATATAGACAAAAATAATGTCGTTTTAAGCAACGTATTTACCTTTCAACACAGCAAAAACCTTTCCAATATATCTTTTCCAATAACACCAGAAAACAATCGTTAACTCTGAGTTTTTCGGGGGGAAATCTCACACTGGGCATCTTTAAGTTGGTTTTTGTATTAGCGTATCAGTGCAGCCAGCAGCATTGATATTACATCGGAATTAAACCAGTATATATTACCGCCAGACAAACTGTTCTGTGGGTCCTGCAATAACTGTATTGTCGTAAAAACGGGTTAATGCTCAGTCTGGAACTAAGGAGAGGATGGCAAACTTTTGGGTCGTTAACCAAGTGTCTGAAAAATATCATATACACAGAGACACAAATTTCAAGAAATAACATCATTTTATGCTCATGTATGTGTTAGGTCCCTTGATCTACCAGATGTAAGCTTATTGTAAACGGAATCACACGCAATAACAGTTGAAAAAAAAAGGAAAAGTGCCTGTATAGCTTATTTGTAGTATCTATAGTTTCACGGACTATAGTGAAATTTGTTTTTAGTTTCTTGCCTGACTTTACCTATTGTCACTACTTTTTGTCTTTACTGTGAGCTTACATTTTTACATTTGTTACACAAATTGTCAACGCTCCGTTCAGACACTTTGCAGATCTACATAGGATAATGAGATCTTCAGTATACACATACACTCAGAGATGACATTAAACTGATAAATTGTGGTAGTTGAGAGCACATTCATACAGCATATAGTACATGAAAGACAGAATTTCTTTACCTAAGAAACAAATTCAGACCTTATAAACGGCATGGGCGTTTTCTATCGCGAGCCTCAGATTTGGGAGCACAAATGCACAAATTAACGATTCCAGCCACGTATTATCACCCAAAAGCAAAACTACTTGCCACAAGCACAGTGTTTTAATACACAAACCGTTTATCCGCTTATCTACTCGTTCGGTACGTCCCTTATATGAGCCGGAGATTGCCGAGAACACTACTGCCGTATAGGAAAAAAAAACAGGGGACTTATGTATACAGTCAGAGGCCCGGATGGAAGCTGGCCAAACTGTTTGTGAAATGGATGGTTTAGAAACGCTAAGTTTGTGACCAGTAATTCTAGGTTGGGGGTAGTTAATTCGTGGCTGGGGTCTTTAATTTGTGCACTTGTGCTCCCAAAACTAAGACTCGTGTTATAAAACGGCAATCATCGGTTATAAGGCCTAAACCTAATGGAGCAAAAGGTTGGCATAAGAGAAAAAATGGCCACAAGATGTGAGAGAAGCTGCTCACATCCCTGCCAATCATAGAATACTTGCACCAAGGTAGGCAGAAATTTAAAGAAACGGACAACTTGTAAAGGCTTGCCAGTGTGATGACTGTAACCTTTGTTGACCCTCTCGGTTGATCACGCTTAATTTGAATATATTAAAAATTTCCGCGTTTTTTATTCATAGAGGCCACTCAAACTTGATTTCCAAGTAGCAACTAAATTTGCACATTTTAAATCGTAATGCTAGACTAAATTTGCATATTTTAAATAGTAATGCTATTAATTACTATTTTAAAGCTTTTCCTGCATGTTAATTTTTTGTGCCTATGATTTCTTCTGAGAAACACCGCTGTTTATGGTTTCTCTTGAATATGATTTCCAATATAAATAGTTTCCTCTTCAAATTCCTTCTAAGAAACACCGCTGTATTACAGCACGTTTACCTAATTCTAATGGTTATAGGATAACAACTCACGTCTACATTGGTCAATAAATTACAGATCCACAACTTCTACTTGAATTTTAAATGTACCCTATACAGAATCAAGCCGCCAAAATAAAATTTTCCTCTGGGGGAAAAGCAATTTACTCATGCACACGGATCATTGCTCTACATATATGTCCCTCACTTGGATCCGCTGTTTACTACATGTAGTTTTAATCCTTAATTCAGCTCTAAATGAGTGGTCAGTCCTATGGAACACCATGTCTTCCTTTACATTTTAGAAGGAACTATCGATGTCAGGTACTTTAATTTGACGGATTTTATAGTTTTAAAGTCTGGATTGGGAAAGATTGGTAGCTTTGAATAGCTCAGAATATATAGACATAGAAAATATGACCTTAGGAAATTTTCAAACGCGCATAGTAAACCTTCAATAAAAGCATGATAGGAATATTTTATTTCATTCTAGGAACGTGTATACATAAAAATCAGATAACAATTTGACGCCTGTGGATAAAATAAGCTGCGACATTGATGAAAGAAAATACTGGAACAGTCTCATATATCGCGTCGTCATCATTATGCCCCGTGTTTTGCTGTGGCTGTTCGTTTATGAAAAAACTCAACCCTAATCGTTTAATTATTTACGTTGGGCTGTACCCAGCAATTTCAAAGGGGGTGTATTTCTGAAAAAGAAGACATTTTCACCACAAAACCCGCGTGTGCTTCAGTAACGGCATATAACTTAAATAAAAATTTGATTCAGGGAGAACCTTTTCCCACCCTAACAAGGCAGTTCTTTTAAACCACCTGAACCCCTCTGTGCACGGCCTTGTTCCGCATACTATAGCTATCCCAGTGTGTAACTGTGTACCAACAACTACCACCATGAAGACACTGTTATGCTAACAAAAGAATGAAATAAATCTTTTAGGGATTCTGCTCTAACAGCACGTGTGCATTCTAATTACTGAACAGTACTTAAAAGTGAGATGTAGCTCTGCCACTATTACATACCATACGCAGATCAACTAGAGTGAGACAACAATGGTCAAGCTCTGCTCGTTGGTGTTTTTCGTGTGGATAGCAGTGGTCAGCAATGGCGTTTTGGCAGGTGAGATTAATCAATATAAGTTCTAAGGGTTAATAATGGATTTCAATATAAGCCAATTCAAACATAGCGGCTCATATTTCTTAAAACCAAATTCCATCCTTGTCATGAATTATTCGATTATATTTGCTATTGAGCAGTAGGATTTGGGGACGAATATTATTCACAGACAAAATTTTCTGTGTTCTGCTGACTGTAAAACATTTCCCCAAGTTCGCCTGTAAATGGGCAGATAATAGTCCCTTTGTCTTGCAGCAACAAACAGAGTATTCCCTTTTTCAAAGACAAATAGTATAAAGATTTATCATACAGAGTTTCGGATAGATCAGCAAACCTCTCCGTGAAATGTCAGGATGACCTGAATTATTTTATGCTATTGAGATGAAATGAACAACTGAATTCATGTGAATTGACCTGTTTTAACTGCCTTGAAAAGGAAACACCTGTTATATTGTCTTTCTTCAGTTTGCTATATGTCAGCATACAAGTATGTAATTATGGCAGACTAAATTCTCCTAGAAAGCACCTGTGATGAATAGAATTAAGAATTTACCACTGTTACATATTGTTTTATCATTTACACATGTGAGGTCTAACATGGAAAGTGCAGGCTTTTTTTTCAATTTGTAATACATTTACATATGCAGATATTAAACAAATATTCAGGACGGAATATAAATAACATGGCATACAAATAAGAGTTTAAAATAATTTGAAAATATTCTTTAATTAATAGAGATAAATTGGTGTTTTTTGCAGTGATGAAATGATTGGCAGTAGAGGTAAAATGCTGTTATATAAGTTAATACTGATAAATGAAATAACATATGGAATGTCCACTATATATATCTAAATAAAACGACTTACTATTTTGTAAAGCAATTGTAACAATTTTCATTCTTATTTACTAGTTACTCTATGTACTAAATATTTCTTTCTTATGATAACAAACGTTTTTCTCTCGCTATACTATTGTCAAGAGGGAAATACAGAGAGAAAAACTCTGTAGAATTTAAAGGTTTCTCTAAAATCCTGGGTCCATCCTTATAAGAAATTTAAAATGTTATATTTTGAATACAAAGCTTTATTTATGCTTTCATTTTTAACATTCATTCTTGATACATTAAAAGTTTAGTTCGGTCACCACCAAGAGAGCAAGAGACAAAATGACTTTTTTATCGTTTCTTTCATGTGAAATGCCTAAATATTGTTATAATAAAATTTTAATTTTAAAAACACATTTAGAATACAAACTGTAAGAGGAGAAGGAAAAATCCAGCTTAATTCCCTATCCTTTACCTGAAGGCGGTGAAATATACACGTAGAAAACATAAAATAAACATGATTTTTATATAGGTAAGCTGGATTGGGTAAAAGTTGTGAAACGCCCAGCTTGCAAGCGTTTTGATGTCAGCGTCAGCATTGACTGCGACAGAGGGCTCATCAAACGCCCGTCTAACTACTGGTTCAAGAAGCTGTGCGACTACTGTAGAGAGGGTATTAAGAAATACTGGTCCAGAAAGATTTCCTATGGTGGTAGCACCTGGAAAGTGAATGTCTACACAGTGCTGAAAAGCAGGGGAGACAGGAAAAAAATCAAGGTTTGGAAAACCCGCTCAGTTTTTCCTTCGATATAGACTTTGATAGTGGTCTGCGCGCGTTTGTAAATTTGCGTCATTTTTTTTTTTTTTTTTTTTTTTTTTTTTTTTTTTTTTTTTTGCTTTACCAGGTTTCAGTTTGTTATATAGAAATTAAATTGTTTAGTAAGATTAGGAAACATGTGCCTCATTATGAATAAAAGAAAATCGGCAATAAGAATGTAATAGAGGCATTTCGTGTTTGCAGCTAAGGTACTACAAGAGAAAAGGATGGTTCTTCAGCAGTACGCGCTCCCACAACTCAGACATCTTGAAAATGACGGTGAAATATCTGGCCTACAAAAGTAACGCTGCACTTCGCTTCAAACGGACCTGTGCTCACGAGATCGGCCATTCCTTCCTAAAAGCTGCGCGTGGACTAAAATATAGTTGGGGACACAAAGGTATCAATCTCTCTAAGGCATATGAAGCGAACAATTGACGCAAAAGTCTCCTTCAACACGAATTATGATTGTGTATTTTTATTATTCAGCCTGTGTAATATTTAGTGAAATGGGTAAGTTTATACTTGTGATTGTATTTATTTTTTTTAATAAAGCAACTTGATAAATTTCCGAATCGTGCAGAATGGGGAGACGGATATCACCATTTTAATTACTAAGACCGTTTTTCACGCAATGCCTCATGTTATTATAATCAACTGTAATGATGCGTAGCATTTTAATCTGTAGGTGCTATTTAATCTGTAGGTACCTCAAGCATCTTTGGAAAAATAAAGTCAAATGCGCCATCTTATCCCAGCAGAGGTGAAATTGACCTGATGAAGTACTACAAGGGCAGTGCCAGTAATTACTACTCCAGATCGATCGCCGCCGAAAGTGACGTGAAGGACTTGGTGTTCAAAGTTAGAGACAGTTACACCACCAATTCTGGTAAGATGCTTGATATTGTAAGTGAACGTTGACATTTTCCAAATAGGTACAGGTATGTATGACACGAATAATGAGCCAAGCATTCAAAGTACTTAATCCCTCTTGCAAATTACTGATGAATTATCTTTATTGGAAGATGATAGAGCAAGAGCAAACAAACAAACTAACAAATTAAGGTTCATTCACCCAATCGCTTTGAGAAATCTTTAAGTGAAGTGTCTTTTTCATTTTGCAGGTAAATGCTGATTGTCAGGCTTTCCCTTCACATTTTGAGAAAACCTGAAGAATCGTATTCTAACGAAATGAAAGCGCTTTTTAGAAGAGTGCAAAACTATATCTGTAACTCATTTGTTTTTCTTTTGGGTGTCTACAAAGAATAACCAACCTCGAAAAAAAAACTTTTTCAAAGGACATGGAGCCTGCGGCAGCTGAAAATATACGTCATCTAGGTACTTTCCTAGGAAATTCATAGATAGAAATCATTAGAAACCTGTGTTACACTTTGTCTATTGATATTCAACCTGTCACAAAAAATAAGAAGCATGACAAATCTCACAATTAATAAAGACAATTTACAAAATTAGTTTACTTTGTTCATTTTACTTATTCCTCTTTTTATATTTTAATATAAAAAGATCTATTTATGATAACCTTTTTATAATATTTTAAATATCCATCTCTTTATTAACCGATGTATTCATTCATATACATTTTGTCTTCTATCTTTTATTTTGTTCATTAATTTTTGAAAAACATGGAAGATTATAAAAGCCATACGATATTTTGTTTGTTTGCCAGCACTCCTATCCATAATTCAATAAAAGGACGATTGTAATATCTCAAATTATTGTTGGAAATCATAAACATAGGAATCACATAACACAAGATGTGACTGATGAAAGAAGATACCAAACCTGCCTTATATTTCGCGTCGTCTTGTTTCATCTATGCCCCGCGTTTTGCTGTGGAAATTCATTTACATTATATGAATAAACAGAGAGAGAGGAGGGTCGGGGGAAGAGTTAGAGGAGACTTCTTTGGACATATATGGAATAGCCAAGTGATAAACGCATACGCAAGTGTTCCATTAATTCCACGGGGCTTAAACCAGCAATTTCAAAGGCGGGGGGGGGGGGGGGTATTTTTTTGAAAAGGAAGACCTTTTACAGCTTAATCTACCTTATAGGTTATTTCTTTCGAATATTATATCTGTAATACTGACATCCAAAAACGTAAATTACGGCAGAGGGTAGTAAATTTTTACAATTATTCAATTGCATAAGCTCAGAACTAATTATCCACGAACTTCACAATGCCACGGTGCCAGAACATGATTGACTGGCAACAACTAGGCAAAGACTGTCCGCACATAATTTTGGAAATAGAGAAAGGAAAGTGGGCAAAGATTCGCGGGGAGGACCGTTTGTGTACACGTGAGGACATACAGACTGGAGAGCACGTGATTTGTTTCTGTGCAAAAAACAACTGAAATTAGAAATGACTTTCTACAGATTGACTCTGGAAACCTTGCAAATGTTTTTAAAAACATTTAAATAGTCCAAATATGCAATACATCTCTAAGTGTATAAGGTTATATCAAGAAACAGTTTCGTAAAACAAGGCAGCGTAACAAATGCTTGTTTTTTTTTTTTTTTTTTTTTTTTTTTTTTTTTTTTTTTTTTTTGTTATAGGCCTATATATATATATGTATATTTTTTTCATATTTTGTATATTATGGAAATAAAAAGGTCTATCTATCTATCTACCTGTGCTTCAGTAATCGGCATGGGCTTAACTCAAATTTTACTTCAGTACGCACCCTTCCTGGACCACTCTGTCGAGAGCCCTTTTCGCAAATCTAGCGCGACGAAGTCACTGTTATGCTAACAAAAGAATGAAAAAAATTAGGCTATCTCATTTTACGACACGTATGCAGACTTGTGGGCTGAACAACTTACTTAAAAGGGAGACGCAGTTCTCCGCTGTTCTGCCACGATTACACACCTTGCGCAGATCAACTCAAGTGAGACAACAATGCTCAAGCTCTGCTCTTTGGTGTTTTTGGTGTGCATAGCACTGGTCAACAATGGTGTTATGGCAGGTAAGATCAATCTATATCAGTCCCAAACGGATTTCAATATAGAACATTATAAGAAATCGCTAATTATTCATAAAACCCAAAATTTCGGCCTTGTCATAGATAATGGGTTGCATTTTATTTTGAGCAATAGAACTAAGGGACAAAAAATTAAGACGACCCACCAGAAATATCACTACTGAGTAAACTCTATGACAAAATTTCTCATTTTACATTTGCAATCGGGCAAAAAACATGTAGACAAATAATATGCCTTGCAGCAACAAATAAAGTTAGCTCAAATATTATAAAGATTTACCATACAGTGTTTTGGATAAAAAAGCAAACATATGAACGAAATGTCAGAATGTCCAAAATTATTTTATGCTGTGGTGATGAAATGAACAAATGATTCATGGTGTATGGCCTATTAATGGGACGATAAACCATAAATGTTCGTGTCTTTTAGTTTAAAAAAGTAAAATTGCAATGGTGTTATTGTTGAATAAGAAAAAAAGGTTATGTTATGGGTATAGTAGGCCTACTATCTCTCACTGGTGATTCCAGACTAGGATAGAATATAGAAGATATATTTTGGGTCCTAGTTCCAGAGTGTTGACATGATGGAGTAGGGTGAATAATCAACTAATTAATCTCTGTCCTTTACCTGAAGCATGGACATAATAAGAGATATATTATGTCAATGCCTGAAGGCCATGAAATATATATGTAGAAGACACAAAATAAGCATGATTTTCATATATAGGTAAGCTAAAATGGGTAAAAGTTGTGAAACGCCCAGCTTGCAAGCGCTTTGATGTCAGCGTCAGCATTGACTGCGACAGAGGTCTCTTCAAACGCCCATCTAGCTCCTGGTTCAACACGCTGTGCGGCTACTGTCAAAATGGAATTAAAAGATACTGGTCCAGATACATCTCCTATGCCGGTAGCACCTGGACTGTGAATGTCAACACGGTGGTAAAAAGCAGAGGAGACAGGAAGAAAATTAAGGTTTGATTTTTTTTACTATAGACCTATATATAAATATATATACAATTTGACATATAGGCTTGTTTTGTGAGGTTAGTGTTGATATTTATGAAACTGCTTTTTTGTGACTTCCTGATTCGCTTGGTATTTTGAGTGGCTCCTTTCAGCACGGGTATACATCAGTTGATAAAGAATAGTAATGAGACTGTAATTAAAGCATTGCATGATTGCAGATAAAGTACTACAAGAGAAAAGGATGGTGGTTTAGCAATACGCGCTCTCACAACTCGGACATCTTGAAAATGACGATGAAATATTTGGCCTACAGAAGTGACGCTGCTTCTCTCTTCATTCTTTCTTGAAAGCAGCGCACGGATTGAGATATAGTTGGGGACACAAAGGTACCATTTTCCCTTAGTAACGGGAGGGAATAGTTAGCTCTTTTTTAAAATTAATTTTGATCGCTTTTTGATACTTAAACTCTTTGCTGCCCTTGCGTAAAGGGGGATATTAGTCTTATAATACTAATTAGTGGCAAATCTTGTTCACTCTCTGTACGAAAAGCTACAATGGTTTTTATTCATAAGGTTGTGTATATATAAGAATGAATAAATAAATAATGTTACATTTTCATATAATTTTCCGAACATGGAAAAATGGCTGCTTCAAAGAAAAACATGCTATCTTTCATTGTCCTATTCTCGCATAAAATATAATATGTTTTTAAGAAACTTGGTAATGATGTGTGCAAAGAGGAAATAATTCAGTCTGTGTGTTTTTAAATTACAAAGCAATTTAATAAATGCCTTAGTCACATAGTAAAGAGTGTGGGACATCACAAATTATATTAACAAAGTCCATCTTTCACGTCAGACATCATTCTTTTTACATTATCAACTGTAATATTATGTAGCCTTTTAAAATAGCTTGACAGGGATCTCATTTCAAATGTAGGTACCTCAAGCATCTTTGGGAAAATAAAATCAAGTGCGCCATATTACCCCAGCAGCGGAGAAATAGACCTGATGCAGTACCACAAGGGCAGTACCAGTAATTTCTATAACAGAGTGGTCGCCGCCGAATGTGATGTGAAGGATTTGGTGTTCAAAGTTAGAGACAGTTACACTATTAATTATGGTAAGATGTTTCATATTTTAGGATTCAAGGTGGACATTTTCTGACACTTATGAACCCGACCTATTAATTTAGGATGATTGACTATTTCTGCTATCTATTTAAGTTTTTGCTAATTTGTAATGATGTTTTGATTCTGTTTTTTTTTTAATCTTGGTGTTTACTTAAGTCTTTATAAGATTTTGAAATGATCTTATCAAAATGCATCTTATTCCTTTTCTTATCCAGGTAGTTGCTAATCAACAAATGGATCTTGGGTGTCATCTTCAAATTTGAGATATTTCCACAGAACCACAAACCAGGATCTACACTCTAATGACTGATGCTTTCTTTTCAATTTTGAAACCAGGAAAAAATGTTAATTTTGCATGGCATTCTCCCTTCTTTGAACCAGTTTTGTAAAAAACAGTCACTGAAATAAGAGAAAGTCGTGGGCAAAATAAATATTTGAAATATTACCGGTATATGCTATTTTATGCCTAGTTTACTCCAAGGGGTGCACACTGCATTCTCCATTTAATTCTCTACAAATCAATTTTTTTACTTATACAATTCCTTACGAATAAAAACCAGGATTGTTTGAAAATAAACAGGTGTGCTTGAGCAGTCAGATGCCCCCCTCCCTGAGGAGTGGATGTTAAATGTCACTTAACTAGTTGAATGGGTGATTGTAATATGAACCACGGCCCTCTTCTCCCTTAAGTCTGTCATCAGACAAAATATTGGCTGGTAAATTTCAGTAATTTTTTTTTTACTTTAACTATAGACTAATAAAACTATTTACTTATTTTAAACACACAGTAAATGAAACTGTTCAACAACAGGTTTTGTTTGGTTACTTTATTTACAAGCATTTACCTTTCTGTGTTTTGTCAATCTCTTTTTGAGCTAATATCTAGCAAACACAGGAAAAGTACCAGCATCTCACTCCCATGTGCTTTGAAAAAAAAAAGCCTACCCCCCCCCCCCCCCTTAAAGAGATATATATACAGTTATGGAAATTATACTTGTTTGTTTTCTAACATGCCAGCAACAGTAATTATGGCTTGACAAACACTGGATACAAGGAATGATGGATGCAAAAATTGTCAAACCCTTTCAAAAATCACTCTGACTCCCATTTCACAAAATTACTGAACAGCTTATTTGTCACGTCACTAAAACTTGTTTAGTCTCAGGAAGTGAACTGAGGTTCTTTTTATAGCACTGTAAACTGCAGAGAGGAACTCCAGTCTTGGAGCAAGTGTAAGTCTTTGCATTTGTGCACCCTTCCACTCCACAACTGGACCTTGGTGGGAGAGGCCTGCAATGTCAACAGGGAAGATGAATCAACAATGATGATATCTTGACTGAACATGTAAAAGAGTATATAAATGGCAATAAATAAAAACTTGGAACACATGAAGAATATATCTTTTAACTACATATTTATCTTTCAATTTGTGAACACTGCAATTAATCAGCTGAGTACTTGGACAATAGTGCCTCGTTTGAACAGTTCAAGCTGGCAGCAATTTTGTGCTAAAGATTTACCCAAAATTTGACAATAAATATCGAGGAATATTCCCAGTTGTCCTTAGTTAGCTAAGTTTCTTACAGCTCACATTTTTTTTTTGTGAGTGTGAGTGAAACAGGATTCTTCCCAGTACTCACTGTTTCTGTAGCTGGGNACAGTTCAAGCTGGCAGCAATTTTGTGCTAAAGATTTACCCAAAATTTGACAATAAATATCGAGGAATATTCCCAGTTGTCCTTAGTTAGCTAAGTTTCTTACAGCTCACATTTTTTTTTTGTGAGTGTGAGTGAAACAGGATTCTTCCCAGTACTCACTGTTTCTGTAGCTGGGTTTGGTATGGAAACTGGAAACCCTGGGGCACTGATATAGTGCACACCTGTTGGTTATTCACATATCGTATTCTAGGGATCTCAGATTTTCTTGAACCACGAGTCTGAAGGATAATAATAATGTGTCACTTTCAAAAGTAAATCCATTTTTAAACAGCTGCAGTTCTGAGTACAGATTTCAAACTTTTAAAAATATCTTAAGTGAGAAGACTGACGAATATTTTTGTTGTAAATTTCATATTAAAAATTAAATAAAACCTTTGTGTGAACAAGTTGTTTCTACAGTTTTCTGGGGATTATGGCTATTAATGACAGTTGGATATAAAAGATTTACCTTGTGTCAGATTTACCACATAAGTTACAACAAATTGGCTATTTGCACATAAAAAACTAAATCAAATACACCTCCTTGCACATAAAAAAATAAACTAAATCAAATACAACTCCCGCTAAAAAGGGGTTTTACCTTTCCTTTGCCTTTTATTTCTTGCTTCTTCAACAACCTCTCTACAGTTTGTTTCTACATGAATGAAAAAGACAAAAAATTTTAATCTATCCAATTTTGTTTCAAACTAGTGTTAAGACAACACCATTAATCACAACCTTGCTTAAAATGGGAATAAAACTGTCCTTTATAAATCAATAGCAGTCTTGTTTGACTTCATTCTGCAATTTTCAACATGAAATTTATCTTTAAATAATAATAAGTACATGAAATAAAATTTATCAAACCACAAAGCACCTTGGCGAAAAAATATTGAGGTATTTCATTTCAAATATCTACAGATTACATACTTTGGCTTTTTCTTTTTTCTCATGTGCTTGCTGCTTCCTTTTCTTTGCTCTTTGTTGTCGTTTCTGTAGTTGTTCTTCAGTCAGCTGGATTGTCTTGTATTCTGTTTTACACATATATAATGTCCATATTTATCAAATGAATAAAGTATCCATATGAAATATTACCTGATACTCATTGTACGTAACATATGAAAACCTTTATTTTGTAATATGGTTTGTAAAATAGACTCAGGGTATTCATTTCAAAATTGTTTTTAAAAGCGCTTAAAAGTAATTGTTGCATAAATGAGGTAACAAAGAATTACGTCAAGGGTAATTGATTTACTATGAACTAAAATAACATACGTAAATACAAAAATACAAACATACATACTTATGTATTTCTTTAAAATTCTTACCTGTTGGTGGCTGCCACAAGGACTCATTGTGTTTACCTTCTCTAAGAGCTCTCTAAAAATAATTATATTATGAACATTAGAAACAATATAAAAATACCAAAAATAGACTTTAAAAATGTGAGTATATCCACTAATAGAGTTCCAAAGCAGACAAAATTAGCTAAACATAATGCATTTTTAACATGCTAAAAACTTCATAAAAAAAAAGAAAATATAACATAAAAATCTAAAAAGACACAGCATTATAATTTTTGAAAAAAAAAAAATTCTGTTCATGCCCATTTAAAAACTAGCTCTGTATTCAAGCCCTGCAGATAACTTCTGCATGTTCAAAGTATAACAATGATTTTGGGTTGTAAAAAAAAGGGGACCAAGAAATGGCTCATTGGCCTCAATACTGGGGGGACTGGGGGATCTGGGGACAGAACATCACCAAGAAAATCATATTTCTGATTTGAACTGAAAAAAAAAAAGTGTGAAAATAATGACTCAAACAAGTTTGTGAGCAAGGCCTCTTCTCCACTTCTAGAGCTGGGGTAGCGCTAACACTTGCCAATTTAGCCAAATGCTAAAACTGCCTTATATTGGCTAAACAAAAAGGACTTGATTTGACTAACAAATTGACAAAAAGTGGTGATTTGGCTAAGCGAAAAAAATTGCTAGCATTACCCCAGTAGAGATTACTTTAACTACAGGGATGCTGACAGTATTTGGTGCAGTTATGCGTACAGATAAAATTTTGTTTGCACTTAAAATGCATTCATCTATAACCCTACAATTACCTGTCTGGCAGTCATAAGAGTGGGGTCTTTGTTTTTCTTAACTTCTCCATATTCATCAAGATCCCCCTTTTCCAAAGCATCCAACCACTGTTTCTCTTCATCTGAAGTGTCTTCGTCAGACTTCTTAGTGGCAAACACAGGTTCTTTTCCATCTGATTGGAAAACAAACAAAACATAGATGATTATTATCATAATACATTTGTAAAAAACTTATTTTCACACTTAGCAATACATATAAAATAGCAGACATCCCAGTTTCAATGTGTTCAAATCTGTACAAGTAAATATCATGCACAGCAAACCTACCAGCTGAAGTCTACATATATTTTAACCCGTTTTATGGTTTTTCACTTCAGTTGGCAAACGATAGTCTCTAATAATGGATTAGCAAATCCCTAGAAATGTGCCTACAAGTCCTAAATGTACTACATGTGTCATATTCCAGTGAATGGAATGAAAAAAATAGCTCATACAAGACACACGTAAAACTATGGAATATGTTTTAGAGTACTTCAAGCCAAAAGAGAGTGAGAAACTCTTTTTCCTACCTTCCCATGGAGTAGAATTCCTGCTCTTTTTACTACCAGAAGTACCTGATGCTACATCTGTGATGAGGGAAGTCTTGCTTACACTTAAAGAAAAGAAACAAACAAACATATTAGAACAATGAAAGGAGAACTAATATTATGAACATGAAATTTTATAATATATGACAAGGCATTTAACAACCAGTGTTCATACAAATTTAAGTCTAGATTTTTAATCTTGGGAAATATTTTCACACTGTTAAAAAAGAAGCTGTCAATAAATCAATCCTTCATCAGTCACATAAAATGTAACGTACTGCAATAAATTTGATTTTATTTGATTTACTAACTGAAGGTCCAATATGATATGAATATACTCATTATAGCACAAAAAAAAAATGTAATTAGGTATGATTCTGATCTTGAAAGTCGCACACACCCACACACACACCCACACAAACTATTACACCAATTAAAAAAATAATAACAGCAACTGTTCTGCAGGACGGTTTTACACATTTATGAAATTGAAATGGAAATGGAAATAGAGTTGAGTCAAAGTCTAAGTCATATTTCATGAACTGAACAAACCTTTTTGTTCCTAAAGTTTGACTACCAATTTTGATTTTGAGTTTAATGGCAGGTTTGTCAGGACTCCCATATTCGGTTGAAAATGTCTCTTCACTGGAGTGGTGCTTCTCTTTCTTGTGTTTCTTTTTATGCTTCTTGTGTTTCTTGTGGCTGCTTCCTGGAGACTCTGGTAGAAATACACCATTATGAAAGTACAATACCCATTTCACATCTTTCTGATAAGATGCTTTACGCATAGAGGCTAGTTAGACCAATGGTTTGTTGTGGGTCCAATAGTGTGTGTGTGTGTGTGTGTGTGTGTGTGTGTGTGTGTGTGTGTGTGTGTACATAAACCACTGTTACTTGTACATTACGCATTACAAAGTAATATTTTTATATGCCTTTTTAAAAGGGCAGGGGTGGAATTACAATATAGGACCATATTTAACCTGTTTCAAAGCAACAGCAGCATAGTTCCATGATGAACTGATGGACCAAAAGCTATTACTTGTACTTTTACTAGGCAACAAATCATGACATTACAAGTACAATACTGGCAATACTGAGTGGAATGACTTGAAAAGAAAGACAGAAAAGGGCCGGGAAAGGGAGTGTGCACTAACCAATGGCAATTAATGTGCATTTTCGGTCCCTATACTCTTTCGCATATATTCAATATAACAGAAAGCAAAACAGTTGAGCGAGATGCCTAGATTCATAAAGGCGTGAAACAACTTGTTGAAGCTGGTTACACCAACACTGGTCACAAGCAACACCGATAACAAGCTATTACAGTATTTGACGCCAGTTTGTTACAGTGGCTATAATTTACCTAGAATCACGCTGCTATCATCTTCAGTAGAGGTTCCTCTTCTTTTACCCATTATCCACAAGTTAGTAGACTATGAATCTATCAGAACATTCCCAAACAGTCACCTGCAGCCCTATTAAATCACTTCCTCTGCAACGACTGACTGACGCCTTGGCTGCCTCTGATAAAATATACTTATCATGTGCGTTTTTCTTGTCAAATACTATTGGCAAGACCAGTGTAAATTTCTGCGCATAGAACTGTGAAGAAAGTTGCTTAAATGACAATGATCACACGTTATACAAAGATTAGCTTCACCTTGGGCCTCGTCTTTCGGTGACAAAGCTATATCTCAGCATTGACCAATCAAAATTTTGATTTCGCCGAGTGCAATTGCTTCCTCCTTAAAAGGAGAGTGAAAATCGCGGTACTCTGCGGAAACAGTGTTTTGGATTAATTTTAATTTATTTTGCTTGGAAAAACAGTTAATGTACAGTCCCAAATCAAATGTGCTATGGGATAAACTACCTGAGAGCAGAATTTTTCTGAGCATTGTTTTTTTGTGGTATGAATGCATGAGGACAATAGTTTTAANTTTCACGTTTTTAGACTGTCTTGAGTTCATGTCGGTCGATCCCGCTGATCAGCTGAAGCCTCAGCTTGTATATATCCTTTTCCCTTTGGTGTCCTTGATCGTGATATGAAGTTTACTTTATTTTATTTGGTTTACCTATATTTACGCTACTATTCCCCGTCGTTCATTCCCTCCAGCATGGCCGCGGGACTAGTGTTACGGAGCAAATATGACGTCACTGTAATCGGTTAATTTAGGTCCAAGGTACAAGCAAGGAATTACATGTATATCGCACCCCCCCCCGGGACTCTACGATATATTTCCCTGGTGCAAGGGTACTAAATTGTAGTTCTGCAAATGTACATGACTGAAGTTCCGGTACTAGTACAGACTCACAGTGATGGCTATTATGATGATTTATAAGGTTCAGATTTTAATATTATCATCATCATATATACTAGAAATTGATATTTAAGCTCTTACATATCCAACAACATGATAACTTGCTTTGCTGCTCAGTTATAATTAATTATATATGTTTCACACTATCTGATATATATGTCCATACCCAGAATATTCTGTAAACACTTTGCCTTAGTACTTGATGGATAACTTGAAAAATTATCCAATATTTAACCAGGAAACCAAGCTAAATTTCATCACATGCTCAAAGCATTATACATTATCAATAAGCACTGATCAAATGTGCATGACTGTGTCATTTCATACAAGAGAACAATAGAAAACCAGTAATCTATGTATAAAGTCAGTCATCTACATCAGAAGCTATATGCACTGTTTGACTAGAAATTGCTGCCTGTCTAATGGAAACTGTGTCGAATAATAGTATGTATGAGGACACTTGAAAACGGAGAACTTTAGAACCCTTCCTGATGATTTCATATAGTAGGTATCTACAGTATATTTGACAAGTTACTAATTATCAGCAATATTTATGTGTTCATTTCTCCTTCTACATGTGTAGAAATCCTTAACACGTGAGACAAGGTTAAAAATATCTGCCTACATTGATGAGTGACTGACTTCATGTAAAGTAAGATTAGATATGTAGCCTTGTAGCATATATAGCATTTTTATTTGATGGTCTTCACAATTGGTAGGTTGTTTGTAAAATTAGGGAAAAGCCAGTCCAAATGCTGATGTAGGTCTTGTGGTACAAGCATAAATGCTTGCTCTAGCACAGCTTTGGTAGATTTTTTTAGCAAACTTACTTTAAGGTTGAGTTAAATTTGTATAGAGATTACGAAGAATAAAAAAAAGAAAGAAAGAAAGATAAACATCAAGGTTATGTTAAAGGGATAATAACTCTTCGTGTGAGGTCTATCTTTCACAATAAAATCATTTTGAATAACTCATAGAAATATAATATATTCTGTTTTACGACAAAAACAGCAGTTATAGCTATTATTCTGACATCTGAGCTTGTCTTCAGACCATGTGGCATCCATTGATGGCTATACTCTGTTATAATCTCTTAAGAGATTTTAACAAAAAAACAAACTTTTTAGAAAAAAAAACAGGGACTAACTTTGAATGTAAAAATGGATTCATTAACCATTGGTAAGTATGGGAAAATTGTTGTTTACTCCAGGAAAATTATATTATGGCCAAAACGAAGAGTTATTATCCCTTCAAACTTAAAAGCCTTATTGCCTTACCTAACTTTCAACTGTGTTTACTCAACACCCTCTAAAAAGCCCCAAATTTTGGCTTCCAATTCATGCTGTCTTTGTAAAATTCTTTTCACCTGTTGGTCAATATAATGTCTACATATTCAGGGAGACTGTGACCAAAACCATGTAATGATAGTCACAGCAGACAGGAGATCAATTTGTGTCTGAGTACTGAACCCTTCTCTAACTTATTCGTGTCCAGAAATTATTTTTGCACTATTGGATGGCCGCTATCTAGATTAGCTTCATCAGGCTTATATTAGAAATACCCATTCGATCAGCAGCTAGGCTCATTTCTTTCATATTGATTTTCAGTTGCTGCATATCCAGGTGGTTTATCTATAGAAACACCCACTCGGATACAGAACTTAATTAACAGATAACAGGGATACATAATCAATATAATGAATGATGTGTCCCCTTGGACAGAATTGTCTGTTTTATATGACCAGTTTTGATGGGGAAGAGGGAGACATTTGCTGCCAAGGAAGGTATATGTAGTTAGCTATATTTCAAAAGTGTTTATTGGAACATGTGTATACCTATGTCACAAAAATTATATGACCATATTATCTTTATGATATTTGAACAGTTACACTTCAGGCAAGTGGTTTTGGATGTCGGATAGCTATTTTTAGACTTTTAAGATAAAAGGCTTGCATGCTGAAAAAGTTGTACAGACTCTTAGCTGTTTAGTAAAAAGTACTAAAAAAAATTGCTGTAGATGTGGCACTCCTAAGAAAATAAAGTACAAAAATGTAAATATACTTTTTTCAACTCTCTTGGGTGATGTCTTTTTCCCTGGAATAGTTTCCTTTATTTATTTGCACATTAATATTAAGAAAATGTTTTCTATAGTAAAATTAAAGGTTTTCCACATGCAGGCAACAACAGGCAAGGAAACAAAGGCTTGTGATACAAAATGAATGATCACGCATTAGATTATTTCATTTTATCTTTGATAATGTTATCAACGTGCATTTTGCTGAGGTTTAAAAACCATTGACTGTCTTTTAGTTTTTTGTCCAATTCTAATCTGTTGGCTATGGCCACACATCCTTAAAATAACATTACTAAGTATATTAATTTTACATCATATTCTCCGATGCTTTTTATTTTTAGAGTGCACTCAATAGTTAAGCCTTAGATCAGTTACCATGGTGACTCATGTCTTTGCACAGAATAAGAGGATTGAGATAGAGAAAAGGAAATAATAGAGTCTTCAGACTTGTCCATGGATACCCATTTCACTTGATTGCAGTAGTTGTGCTGTGAAACCAAGCAATGTGTGTTTTCATGTGATTGTGAGCTCTGGGTTGAAAGGATGCTGAGAAATGTGGTTGCAATTGGTAAGTTATGGAAAGAAAATTAAACATATTGATCCATGAAAGAGAATTTGTTGATAACTTAGAAAGATTATCTGCAATAAGATGAGACACCCTCCTTTTCCCTTGAGTTCATTTGTGGTCTCTTAATTGACATTTTCAATAACTTACGAAAGGAAGTTGGTTAAAAAAAAAAAAAAAGAAAAAAGAAAGAAATATGAGTTTGCACAAGGATTGATAGGCTAATCATAGATTAGGTAGATATGAGTCTGGTTTGTTTCTTAAAAGAATCAGAATACAACCTGTAACCCACACAAAAATTTAAAAAGTTTGCAACTGTTATATTTTAAAGAGACAGATTGTATTAAATTAGTGTTGCAGCGTCTTGGACCAGTTTTTTGGGCAGTTATCAAAATCTTTGGACTCATTATATTCCAAACTACTTTGAAACACCAGTGCACTGTTAAAATCTTGCATTACATATCATCTGCATATGGCAAACAGATTTATTATGCTTATCTGGCGTGGAATACATTAAAGAGGTTTTTGATTACAACTAATTCAATATGAACATGACACGGTGCCTCTTGTTAAAGAATTATGGGGCTGAATTTTATTGACAAAACTATACACAGTCTGTTTTAAGAGTGGTCACTTGTTTGTTTTGTCAACAGCTTTGCTTGTAGTGAACAGCTTATTTTCCTTTTTATGTCTAGGTATATATTCAGTGATGGAGATTACAGCTTCTACAGCCCATGGATACCAGGGATTATAACTATTAAACCGCCCATGCCCAGTGATGGCTGTGGATTTAAGGCTATAAACTGCCTCTGAATACGGCTTACTAGAGATAATGTTAGAAATTGTCCTCTAACACTGCTGAGTAAGGAGGAAAAGGTGGGTTTTGTTTGTAGTATTGATATGTGCTATAACTCACTAGAGACATATTCTGAGGTCTTGGACTTAAACAAAAAAGCAAGTCCATGCGTATTTAGTAGACATGTTGTTTTGTATCCAGTGAAAAAATTTGGAAATTATTAAAATAATGTCTTTCATTAAAATAAGAAAATAAGTTAATGTTCCTCATATGTGCTTTTCTCCACGTTTCCCAAATACCTAATGACCCTTATGTCAGGTAGAATGAATGAAAACTGATATTTTAATCCTAGATAAGGCTGCTTTCAGGAATATTAGTTTTATATTTATTATTTTTATTTAATCTGGAAAAAAAACTCAGTATCTCAAATGCTATGTATATCAAATGACCATTGTATATTGTTGTTAAAAATGTTGTTCATATTTTTTGTTTAACCGATCCTGAAAAGAGAAATATAGGAAAATTCCTAGTATATGATTTTTGATTTGAGACATCTCTGTACTAATCAGTTGTTCAGATTAAGAAAAAAAAAAAGAATTGATCTTCATTTGATTGGCTGTAGTCAAGCTTGTCTGTTCTACTGTTGAGACTGAAACAGTTTTTATTAAAATCAATTTGAACATAACTGGAGACAAATGAATATTATTGCAAAGTTTTTATAAATCCTAATTTTTGCCTTTCGTAACTTAAAATAAATTACCTTTTTCTATCATTGTAAAAAAGCATATTTATGTAAGGCACATTCATGTTATAGTGAAGTATATGTAATTCTCACCCTAGGTATTGTTCACACTGTCACATGTTTCTGTTTGTTGTATAACATAATGGAATATTGATTGAAAGTTTGTCCAATCCTGTCTTTTGATAGCCTTTTTTGTGATTTGCAATGTGACTTCTGAATCAATTAACAAACAAGGCCCAGAGCACAAATATGAGTATTTGGCTAACCAAACTTACTGTATCAAGTTTCAGATAGGTCCCTTAGTTACAATAACAGTTTTTTTTCTTGGTCACAGTCTTGTCTGTTATAGATTCTTGGTTGCACAAGGTGTGGTATGAGATTCATAATAATGCTGTATAGATTTTCTTTCACCTTTACTATTCTTTGCTTCAAAATTATTGGATCACCGAATTGATTTTTGCTGAAATGATAGCAGCAAAAAAGGATAAATTGTGAAATGGCATGATAGCTTGCCCAGTGTATCTTGACTGGTTCTGGCCGATGTGCCATCTTAATAATGAATAGTTGTCCTGCTGAGAGTAATTATGACCTATCACCTAGTAGACACTTAAAACATCTTCTTGATTGGTCCTGTGAGTTTCCTTGTTGACTTGGTTACTCTTACTATTGATGGTATGGTAGATCAATAACGGGACTAACGTCACGGCACAGCCTCTACCTGAGAGATGGGATCAATGCATGCATTCAGTAGCATGGTGTACACAGACCGTATAAAAGCTGCCTGGAGAAAGGAACAAAACTTTAGCTGGTCTGTGAACAATACGCATTAAACCAGTGTAAGGAGTTGGTTAACTGTTTGAATATCTTTATCCATGTCTGGGGACTTGCTGCTTCAGAATCGCCTGTCACGTTGTAGGTAAGATGATCTGGAGATGACCAGTGTCACTGGCTTTCACAAGTTAGAAAATAAACAGGGACTTTTTTAGTATTTCATGAGTAACAATTACATACTAGTATATGGGTTTAAAATTGTTCGTTACTAGACTGAGTTTGTTTTGTTTTGGCTGTTTACAGTTTGACCTTCAGAAGATCATTCATGAAAACTTAAGGACGTTGGTGTTAAACTTGGTTGAATATTCTGTCTGAAAGAAATGATGATGTTAATTAACTGAAGGAGTTGTTTTTTTAATACAAGCAATGAAAATTAAGAAATTGCCTTTAAGTCAAAAAGTACTTAAGGCATTTTCGCTGCTTGTATTTTGATAATTTCTCAGTGCATAACTTTTATCTTTTATGTAACATGTCTTGCATCTTACATTACTGCCAGTTTTGTAGTTTCAGATTTGATTTGTATATGTTTAAGATTTTTAATTGATCAAAATATATACAAGAAGTATTACAATTTTTCATTTCTTGTATAATATTATGATATCTTTACACTGAATTCTTTGCATAGAAAACAGAAAAAAAATACATTCTGATTTGCTATACTTTATTAACTTAAATTAGATACTTTTTTATAATAATAATAATAATTATTATTATTAAATATTATATTGTGTTGAAACATTTTTTGAATCTATTTGTATTCCAAAGGAAGATTTAAAAGGGATAAATTTATTAGTTCAGTCACTGTGGTAAAAATATGCTGCTGATATTTTAATAAGATACATTTGTTGAATGATGTAGGTGAACTGGTTTTATTAAGACGGAACTTAACAGTTGAGACGGAAAAGGTTTTATTAAATTGCCTTGAATTGTTCTCATTTGTAGACCTACGTCAAGCAAAAAGAAAAGTAGGCATCATGAACCATGTCATTTTTTTCATTTATTGTGATAGTACATGTAATAGTATTGATTATAATCAATGGTTCTTTTTGTTACAGTGGTTTCTATGGTGACTGATTAAAAGATTGGTCATTATAAGATATTGGAAGAAAATGGATGTGAACAGTCAAACACCACTGTGAAACACCACAGGAAATTGATTGCACAGAAGAAAAAAACTAGTAAATCACATAAAAAGTGATTTCTGTTCTTAAAACAGAGTGCACCATGAAGGCCTGGCGAGCAAAAAGGTGCGTGCGTCGCAAGCTCCGAGGGAGTCATCTTCTGGTGGTATCAGGCACCCTGGCGATTGGATACCTTTGTTTTTTGTGTTCTTTTAGTGACATCATTGTACCTCACCTTAGTGAATTTGAAGATGGAGATCATCGAGTTTTGACAAGGAGACTTCTAGCTCTTGACAACAATACCACTAATGGCACTACAGCTAAAGAAAATAAAATGTATCCTCCTGAACTTTTCACAATCGAACAACTGAGACAGGGTGCAGTGGTCTTGTATGTCATTGGCATTTTGTATATGTTTGTCGCGCTGGCTGTGGTCTGTGATGAATTTTTCGTACCTGCCTTAGGGGTGATCACAGAAAAACTGGGCATCTCGGAAGATGTTGCTGGAGCAACTTTTATGGCCGCGGGCGGCAGTGCACCAGAACTTTTCACGAGCCTCATTGGGTTGTTTGTAGCTCACAACAACGTGGGAATTGGGACAATTGTGGGTTCAGCCGTTTTTAATATTCTTTTCGTCATTGGGATGTGTGCCGTAGTCAGCAAAGGTGTTCTAAAATTAACATGGTGGCCATTATTTCGAGACTGTGTCTTCTACAGTTGTAGCTTAGCCATGCTGATTGGATTTTTCAAAGATGGCCAAATTGACATATGGGAATCACTGCTGCTGCTATTTTGGTATTTTTGCTATGTGACCTTCATGAAGTTTAATCACAATATAGAACCCTGGGTAAAGTCAAAGTTATGCAAAAATCGAGTGACTACTGTGGAAAGTGCATCCAACCAGCTGATTCAACATGAGGTATGAACATTATATTTTTTAAAACTTATTTCAAGATTATAACAGTTTTTAGATAATCCTCATATAATAATGTATCACTTCTTGTTGATATTTTAGTGTGAAAAAATACAAATGAAGATAAATGAATAGATCAGTTCTTCAGGGTATACCAATGCATTTGAAACAGGCCCAATGTAATATTTTCTGGGTCTGCATATCTTGCAAAGCTACAGTACTTATCTTCTGCAATTCACGCTTTACAAATGAAAAACCCTTCAAATTATAAGTACCTGGTGTCAATATTTCCTTCTGAAATGTAAATGAAGACTTGGTAGTTTTGGAAACATTTCAAAGTAAATTATTTAATTAAAAATGGTATAAAGCATGGTATAAGTGCAAGGTTGGGTTGAGCAATGGTTAAGAGATAATTACTTCTTTTTCAAGGAAAATTTTGGTGGGAAAATCTTAGATAGGATAATGTTTGTCTTTACCATAGGAAAATGTCCAAAGGGGTGTTGATTGAACAATACACTGACTTTGATAAAACGTTTCTTTTAGACAAAAGATTAAACTTTTGACTTAATCAATTGATACACTTGCAAAGAAATTTTGGAGTGCAGTGTTATCATTTTCTGATGACTTAAAAAATTTTTTTTAATGTCTGGGCTATTTTGTCTTGGAAGGAATTGAATTGTATCAATGAAACTGTTGCATGCAAAAATGTCATGCAATTTTTATTAAGTTGTTTAGAGCAAATGTCTGATTGGTGTTTTAATTATATTAATCCAAAACGTCTGATTGGTTCTTTAATTATTTTAATTATTTTAAACGTTTTATCAAAGTCAGTGTATTGTTCAATCAACACCCCTTTGGACATTTTCCTATGGTAAAGACAAACATTATCCTATCTAAGATTTTCCCATCAAAATTTTCAAAATTTTCAAATTAAAAAATTATTTCAAACTTCTTTGACATTCCAATTCTTATTCAAGAATTACTGTGCTTTCAATTTTTCTGATTGCTTCATCAGTGAAATAACCAGTGCAAATGTCTGGTGGGAATATTACATAATCTTGTGAACCTAATGATTGGAATCACAGAAAATGATTGGTTCAATGATTTATGATGCGCCTATTGGTTTTTCTAAACAGAGCACCTTCGTTGATTACTAGAATGGCCGTTTGTTTTCCTAAACAGAAGACCTTTCAAAACTGTGCAGCCCCAAATGTGTGCAGCCTCCTGTAATAATTCATTTGTTTGGCTGGTGTAATGCCAGGACAAGGAAACATGCTTATCAAAATATGAAAGAATTCTGTGCTGTTTTAATACTGTACGATATATAAATTAGCCATGATAAGAATTTATAAGGTTCAGATTTGTTCATTAGTAGACATGTTTTGGTAGGAGGCTAGTAAAACACATGACCTCATTGACCTACATTTGACCCTCTGTCACACCTGGTCTCTTGACCACTTTGGCCTTCGTATAAAGTAATATAAAGTTTATTTAAGCCAAATGATTGAAGTATTTTTCAAGTTAAATGAAAAATTTAAGGACCACAGTATTGAACATATTTTTAAGATCTTTACTTAAGTAGAGAAGTTTATGGAATTGGCCTTTTTTTTCTTGTAATGTTTCATCAGCAAAGCCACTAACTTGTTATGTTGTACTTTGAATTTTATGCAGTAGCCAGTGGTGTCTCATCATTTTCACTAAAACTCATTAAGTGGAGTGTTCTTTAATAAATGAAAAACATGTTCTCCTGTCACCTTTTTGAAACAATTGGTCTATATGGCTTACTCCATTGATAGACAGAAAAAGATACACTGTTTGCCCCTTGCCTGTGTAGCTATTAAAAAGCACTCATTATACGAAACATTAGCCATTTGGGAAATGGTATTTACCAGCTGAACATCATTATAGGTAAATGCCAATACAACAGTCAAGAATTGGCACAATGGAATATCCTAGGGTCTGCTTTTGTCCTAATATCTGCTTATATGTATGTATGCACGTTGGCAGTGTGTCTTATTTCTTTCCAGCTGCCATGTGAAATATGCATAGGATAAGTTGTTTAAAATAATGAAAAAAGAAAAAGCCATTGTTTCAGAAATTATACATTTAAGAGTTAACATAGATGGGAGAAAAAGATTACACATGTTCCAATTTACTTTGTTTCTTAGAGTTGACATTTCATTAATTTGAAAGACAACATTATTGCTTCTGGATTTTTTTCTTTGAATGAAGAGGTTTACAAGTTCACATGTGCCTTGTGACACACGTTTTCATGATGCCATTCAGTTGACACAGGAAAGGTTGATTGAGTGGATTCCCTTGACTTTTCTGTTGACATTTATAAGACACTGATATAATCAGAAACGAAAAGAAAAACCTAGCTTGAGCTTTATTAAGCAAGCTATTTCAACAAACATTGTTTTTTTTTACTCAAATTGTACCTATGTAGCTAAGAAAATTTATTATTGTGTCCAAGTTGTCTGTCTTTCTGTTATTTGTTTTTCTGTCTTTCATCTGTTTTATTAGGTGAGAATGTAAGAAGAAATTCTGTTAGACTAAGCACCAGTAAAATTCTGCTAGGGTTCAGTTTAACAAGAAAAGTTAAGTGAAAGGTTAGTCATAATTGTTATGACATCCAGTATTTTAGGGATACAGCTATACCAGTTTTCTTTTGGGGGGGGGGATTTTACCATGTAGTTATGCTATAATGGACTGTACTCTCCTTTCTCCATGAGGTTGCTTCCTGCTGTTTAGTTAAAGGTACACTCCATGACATATTTACCCACCAAAATGGATTTTCCTGTGTAAATAAGCAATTTTCTTGGATTCTCGAATCATTTGTCTATCCCTCTCTGCACTTGGATTTGACCTTTGATAAAATTTACAAAGGTTGATGTCAGCTTAAAATGACTGGCCAGTCATTATAACAGCGGTCATTTTCCTATTTGGGAATGTCAACATCAGTTACCCTCCAGAATAAAGGATTTAAGGGGCTAAATTGTTTTAAAGGTGTATGTAAGGTTTTAAGGGAGAGGAATTATGTTGAGGTGTCTCTTTTACATAAAAGCCAGGCTATTTAGTTTTCAATTGATCTCTCTCTCTCTCTCTCTCTCTCTCTCTCTCTCTCTCTCTCTCTCCACAGTATTTTTCTTTATTATGAAACTTTTGTGTATATAAATAAAAGCATACATTTTTCTGGCAAAAAGGTTTCAAAAAGGTATTTTAAGAGTGAATTCTAGTCTTCTTTGGCCTGGGATAATTCATGACATTAGATGTCAAATAACAGGAGAATGTTGAATCTGTTTTGCCTTAAGCAAAAATTGAGCAACTGTTTATCTCTGCTTAACCTTAAAAATAAGATGAGATTATGTTTGCATGAAAGATGATCTGTTCGTCTGTTTTTCTTCAAGGTGTTTAAGATATTGGAAAAAAAAAACGCAGGTGACAGCATTGAGTCCCTTAAAAGTATCCAAAATAGTGTTCAAGAATGTATTAGGTTGTGAATTGTTAACATGATATGAAATTTAATGTGATACTGAAAACGTGATGCTGAGGATGGAAACAAGTGTTACATGAGCTACAAAAGTGTAACGTAAACAAAAAAAAACCAGTAGAAGATGTCATTGCCAACAAAACATATCATTGTATGGTGTTAAGAGCTGATTGTTCAGACCTGACTGATTTTCATCACTTAGATGACTTCTTGCTGCACTTGTATTCATTGCAGTTTGGCAGAATAGAGGTTGAGTTCATGCTTAGGTACATATTAAAATTTTCACGTTGCAGCTATTAATCTTGTGAGGGATGTTATAGACAAGGAAAGATGTATAAACAAGGTCGATTGGTATTATCCAATCTGTCAGGAAAAATAAGTATTTCCTGAATTTTTCTAAGCTGCACTGGAGTTGGCATTTCTTAATTGCGTTAATTTAAATTTCAGAGAATTAAAAAAAATATCCAAATACCCACAGGAAAGGATTCAGACAATGATTTTATTTAATGAGGAAGTGACCAGGTTTGAACTCACTTGAGAAGTTTAGTTCTACACTCTATCACGATTCTCAGAAGTTAAGTAGCTGGCTCCTGTACAGCTAATCTAATTATGAAAGCTTGGGGAAATTATTTTTATCAATATTTGGAGATTGATTACTATTACTGTAAGGGAATGAAGTTGATTAGAGCTTGAGAGGCATCAAATGGGACCTGTGGTATTCGATACTGAATATTTCAAAGGTGACAGGTCATGGTTTTGGTGCAATGATAATTCTAATGACTATCTCAGTTTGGTCACAGAGGTAAAGATACCCTATATATCTCCTCTATCTGAAAATGGATTCAGTCTTCCCATTGATCTCTCAATCCATAAATTGAAGTGTAAATCTGTGCCAACTGTAAAAAACATTGCTATTGACACAAAAATAGTGGAAAAGGCTTACTGTACTTAGAAACCAAGACTACCAGGCTAAGAACTCTGCAGTTTATAATGTTTCTACCCCCCACCCTCCACCCAATTGACCAAAATCCTTTTTTGTCAGTAACCAGGGGCGGACCCAGAGATATTTTCTGACAGTCTTCCAAATTATCTTTATTACCATCCTCCATTTTGACCGTCTTCCGACAGAAAAAAATAGATACCGGTCAATGTAAACTTAAAAGTCTGACCGTCTTCCAGAAGACCCAGAAGACGGCCTAAATCTGCCCCTGAGTAACCATTGCAACAGGCATGCTTTGTAAGGAGAAATGCTAGTTTCAGTGATTTGGGACCAAGGTCTATAACTGAACAGAAGAAAAGGCAGGAAATAGTCTTGATGACCAGTGTTTGATTTTTTTTTTTACAGACATCTGCTCTTTACGGGTTTTTTCCATGAAGATAAGTACTGGGTATTGTTGGGAACAAATGTTACACCTGTCTATGTATTTCTGTATTACAGCATATAATTTTGCCTTACAAGAGCAACTATGGCTATCAAGTGTGAATTCCTGAGAAACCCCAGACTTCAAACTTTCTGATTCTCATTACCTGGGAACTGTGTGGATCATATTCTCTTTCTCTCCAGTTTGCAAATATTAGTGCACCACTTAGATTCCACTCTTGTACAAAGATAATGTCTAATAATACCCACAGAGCTTGAAGAAAGTTTTCAAATCAATTGTATCTATGTGATTTTCATTTGGTAACCATTGCAGAAGGTAATCACAAAAACCACTGAACAGATTCTATTCCTTCTAAAAATGTCTTTTGATATATCCGAATTAATTCAAAGTATTTGAAAGGATATTAGTTTTACTGCAATTCCAAACCATCCAGGAAAAGTTCTGATGGAAATCTTTTGTTTGAAATGCATAATCCCACACGTAATGCTTTAAAGTAAATATTCTTTGATGTTACTGTTTTATTGACAATTTATTATATCACTCCATGTGACAGCCAGACCGAAACGCCACTTATTTCACCAAATTGATGATTGCATATAGTACAATGCGTCAATTCATCCTCAGCTCTGTGTTTGTAAAAGCAGACGTCATAAAGATTTGTCAAATGCAGATAATGTGTTGAATTTCCACAGTTTGCATTGTAGTCCCTCAGATTCTGAGGCAAGGGCAAACATACATTAGCAGAGAAAATAAAGAGGTGGGATGCACAAATATAGCTGTAATTCAACATCCAGCAATCAATACCATCCTGAAAGCAGGGCCTAAGGATAATGATGTTGATTGTACTGTGTTAAAGCCATTTTTTGGGTAGCTGTATACTCCTAAATTATCAAGTTAAATGATGGAAACTATTGGAACTTAGTATGGGCACAGTAATTTGATGGTACCGTGTGCATTGAAGATGACAAAATCACCGAGAAATTACATAATTTATAGAATTGAATTATTTTCTTTATGACAGATCTACATTGTATGGTGTACATGTGTTAATTTGATGAATATAATAGAACAAGTAAAAATCAATATCACTTTTTGCATGGTCCTTTTTCATTGCAAAATGTCATCATTTAGGCCATAGTACATATTGGAAGACAAGTGGATACCTTTTTTCCATGAACTTATGGCTTTGCTCCTTTGTGATCTTTAATAAAGAATAGATTTGATATCTTGCGGCACAAAAGATTAATGTTGTCACGTTATTCTCTTCTGATTCAAAAGCATTGTCCTTGTATGACATCCAGGGAAAGTAGTTTGCTTCAGCTGTTATACTGAAAGGAAAATGATCACACAATCATCGATGAATTGAAATATGCCCTGTACGGTCTTCATCAGAAAGCATTTAAAGTGACATACTGTTAAAAGAAAAGAATGTTTAACTGTGTATGTTGATGATGCTTTTAAAAATATTTTAAAAAGATAAATGATTATTTCTTAAGGAATGGATATATTATAAAGAACATCCATTACTATAACAATGCAGTACTTAAAAATTATATTAAAACTTACTCGTTCATATTTCTCATTTTAAGAGAACTACTATCAGTTGATAGAATTTGCTAGATTTTCTGGACATTGTACAGAATTAATTGCAAATTTAACTTGCCGGTAATTTATGATTACTCGTAAGTAGCTCTGTAAAAAAAAAAAAAAATACAAGACTGATAGTCTTCCCATCCATGTCCAATCATTCAACAAGGAAGAAGTCTCAGAGAAAAATGAAATTCTGATAACCTAAAAAGTAAGTTAATCCCACAACAAACGCACCTGACACCAAGGAATTTATTACCATTTGCCCCTAGCTCACCCAGGAGAAATCAGTCCTAATCCTAAGTCAAATATATTTACTCAGTTTTTTTTCGTTTTGACATAATGTTCGCTTAGTAAGATTAGATTACTGTGTCATGTATGAAGTAACGTTTGAATGAATCCAATCTGTTTTGTTCGTGATTTCAATTTGTTTTTGCACTAACATTAAAATGTTAGATTCATATTTCCTTAGTGAACTTACTCAGCACTGGATGCTTATGTCATCAACATGCAATCTTGCATTTAATCCAAAATGCTGTTATCTTTGGGGATTTTAACCTTTTTTATCATGTAAGCAGTCATCAGGTTTGATAGAATTTGGCAGTTTGGGACATAATTATAATTACCTTTTTTCTGGCATCCTCTAAATCTTTCCAAAACTTCAAAACTTATGATAACCAGGTGTAGTGAATGTAAGAACCTAAACACCAATGGAATTTTTTCTGCATTTGGGTAAGAAATACATGTAGCTAAGACAGTTGCAATATATAGCATCTTGACATTTGAAAACCCAACCTTAGCCGAGTCCCAAAGTTGCAATGATCATAAATTGTTTATCCTTTTGATAAACCCACCAATCCACAGGACTGTATGCACATATGAAATAAAGACAGCCTTGAAATATCAAAATTTGATCCTCTAGTGATATATAATGGTTCATTTCCTATTTTCAGAAAACCGAGCGATCCACCAGTCTCCCCATCCTCCATGGAGGCACTGGCAGGTTTCGGCATGGGGTTGTCCAGTTGATGATCCAAACTATTGATCCCCTGGGAACAGGTAAAAAAAAGCCCTGTAGTTTTGTTTAAGATTATCATTTTGACATACCCAGGCAGCAGTGCTGAAATATGCACAGACCAGGTAGAACTTGTCATGTAATTTGATCAGGACTTGACGTGTTTTAACAATGTGGAATTGTTTGTTGTTAATGGTACTGCAAGATTTGGTTTGTGTTTGTGTGTATGCTTCATTGGTTTTGCATCTAATAGAACTTTGTGGTATATTGTATATTATATTTATTATCTTTTATTACTATTTAAGAAAATATTTCAAAGTATTTTTAGTACCAATACATATTACATCAAGTTGTTTAAAACACTTTGAAGTAGAATATCTTTTTTATTATGTCAAATAAATTTTACAAAATGTGTAATGTGATTAAGAGCATTTTCAGTATTCATTCCAAGATTTAACTGTGAATTTGAAACATTGAAACAATCTTACTGCAATGCAGCTTTACTCTTTAGTGGTAAGCAAAGGTGTTTGTGTGTCAATATTCGATAAGTGTTGATTTTTGCACACCATTCAGTTATAAGTATTATTTTTAAAAACTTTTCTGAGTCAGTGCTTTTTGAAAATTCCAGGGCACATTCATGAAAGAGCTGTCAACCTGCATGCCATAGCTTCTCTGAAAGTAGTGATTGATGGTGACAGCAACATGTCCCCAAATCCGCAGTCAAAAAATGGCATTCCGTCCATTTCCAATGGGAGAATCACAATCAATGGTACGTTTACTGCCACCAATCACTATCACCCCCCTGGACTGGTAGATAACAAATCTGGTGGATGCACACTAACCACAGTGGAGAGCTTGTCTGGTAAGCTCCCAGAGCTTATGTGATGTGGCACTAATCATGCTTATCATTTTCTCTGTTTTTTTTTTAAATCTCTTGAACTGGTTTTATACAAGTTGTTATACTCTCAAACTTGTTTGAATCACTTGACCAACTGGTTTAGATTATTTTAATTTTTTTGTTTTACATTGAACTGGTTTTTATCATGTTGGTAAATATTTGCCATTGGAGTGATTTTTGTCAGTTTGATGAATTTTTTTCTTATGAAGTGATATCTATCAATTTAATTTTTTTCTTTCCAAATAACTAAATTTAAGGTACAGCTTTGAAAACTATTTTGAAACTGATCAAGTCCTATTATTTTAGGTGCACTCCACACTGTGAAGTATTTTAACAAAAAGTGCAGTCCTTGTGAGATTTTTTGTACTTCCTAGTGACTAGCTTAGCTTCATTATCTAGAAGAAGTTTTTAATCCTGAAATTGAAAAGCAGATGTTACTTGATGATTATCTCAATTCAAACATGCTTATTTTCTTATGTGCTGTAAAGAGCCATTTCTTCACTTGTTAGAAGCAAAACCCTGTTAAATTGTAACCTTCTCAGAATATCTGGCTTTTTTTCTAAGATGGTTCATAGTGTGCGTGATCAAAGTTAGGGGCCGTTCACAATGAATTTTGTCGACCTAGCTTATTTGCACTAGCTTTGGTGGGACTCTTGTTCAATGCAATCAGACTAACACACATCCTCTTGTTTCCAACATGCTCCTATAATAACCTTTTCTATATTGTACTCAGTGCCAGGAGGTAGTGTGTTGGTCTGTTAATCTAATTGCATTCAGCAAGAGTCCCTGTGGAGTGAATGTGCTTTAGCTAGTAGATCAACAAAGTTCATTGTGAACAGTCCCTCAGATATATAACTCTTCTATGTGTGGTCACTTGTGTAGAACTGTGGTTTTGTAACTTCCATTTTGTGTGATTGTCATCTGGAGTGTTGTTTCCCAGAATTTTCACACTAGATAGAAGCTCCAAGATTCTGTTCTTACCCTGTTAATCTTTCTTCCGTAAATCATAGTCCAAATTAATGCATATCTACTAACAAAAAGGTTTCATACATATTGTTATCTATCAAGAGGTAAGCTTCTGGTTATTTTTCAATAAAAAAACTGCACACCAACATATCTACAGAGGCCCATAAAACTTTTATGTAAAAATCAATAAAATTGAATAATAAATTAACATTTGCATCCAGTTTCATGTAGTAATACAATTTGATTTAAATGGTTTGATGTTGGATGTTAAGATTCATATTCTCATCCACACAGACATGGAAACTGGTTTTAATGGCAAGCAAACCAGTGACAACCTAGCTGTTGTTCCAAGCAGTGGATTGCCACCAGACGATGCTGTTAGCCAGGCAACTCAAGACAGTGCCAACTCAGAGGTAAATCTTCATTTTCAGAAACAGTTATATAAATGTTTTAAAAATACATCTCATATATCTGAAGTGCAGAAATTGATTAAAACACATCAAAGTGTTACTGCAATGACTCGATCTTTTTAACGGGCAAAAATGATCAAACATTCAGATACATCATTTTAAAATCATAAAAATTTTTTTCAATTAGAATTTGTGATGCTTTTAATGCATAGAATAGAACTATAAGGTAGTCTCTTTTTCAATTTTGTTGTAATCACCCAATAGGAATTCTTTTATTTTAAGAAATTATGACTTAAAAATACAGTATCAGTAAAATTCACAATTTTTCCCCATTGAAAAGATCCGAGTTACTGTGTGATATTTACCCTCAAATTTTGACTCCTGGTTTATTTCTGGATGATTGTTTGCTGTTCCTGCAGATTTTATTAAAAATTTTTTCCAATGCTGTACAGCTCTAATTGATCCTGTTCCTTTTTCCTTAATTATTAAAGTTAGTGATTTCCAATGACAGAATTGTGTGAGAAACTTCTAGTATATATCTATTCAACATTATATGCAGCCTAAGGCCTTCTTCCATAAAGATCATCAATATATTAATGCTTTTTTTAGCATGAAGACCCCCTGGAAGAAGAGGAAGAACCGTTGGATATCAGTTGGCCAAAAACCCCACGGAAAAGACTAACATATATTTTGCTGGCTCCCATAGTGTTTCCACTATGGATCACACTGCCAGATGTGAGAAGACCTGTACGTATGAGCTGACCCACAATAAATTTGCCAGCTAATTAAAGTTCTTTTTCTTAACAATAAGAGCAATCAGTAATCAAACTTGTCTTGTAATTCATCAGTTTGAAGAAATATAAGGAGGCACATTGGCACTACATAAGGTTATAGACTGTGATCTAGGGCCTGGCCAATTTTGGCCCTCCAGATTTAGCTTAGAAGCCTGGGCCATAGTTGGCCCTCCAGATGTGAAAGATAGGATAGTTTTGATCATTCAGCATTGAATGGCGAGAAAGTGTTGGCCCAACAGTGATGAAGGTAGGAGCAGCTTTGGCCTCTTAGTATGATGGTCCTTCAGCTTTAAAGGTTGTTTCAGTGTTGGCCCTTTAACAATAATGAATGGGCCAGTGTTGGTCCATCACATTGGGCCACTGTCAGGATATTACAATTAATACAATTAATACAAACTGTGTGGAAATTTCTATCTATTTTAAATATTTTATGGACTCCAATTTTATTTTGGATTTTTGTTTTGCAGGAGAAGAAAATGTGGTATCCATGTAGTTTTATTGGGAGCATGCTTTGGATTGCTTTTTTCACTTACTTGATGGTATGGTGGGCTGATTCATCAGGTGAAGCTGCAGGAATTCCGAGTGAAGTAAGTGTTTTGATAACTGTACATCTTAAGCATAGTGTTCCATTGATGAAAATTGCTCTAACCTCACCTGTGAAACAACAAAAAGAAAGACAACATGAAGTTCAGTTTAAGTCCCAGATATTTGTCTATTGTTGACCATTCTGTCATCAAAATAAATTTGATAGTGGTGGTCTCCCAATTTGCCTGGCTTGATGCCACAGTATTGCTTATATATATATATATATATATATATATATATATATATATATAATAGACTTATCAGTTACATACAGTTAGAGCATAGAAGAATTAAGTTATTTTTGTTCACTCAATAGCTAATATTGACAAGCTAATATTACCTCCAATATTTCAATGTCTCTCAGAGCATCTTCATCAGGGAATGGGGCTTTCCAGGTGAATAGCCCTTATCCAGCATATATACTTGCTCTCACTCCCACCAGCTACTTTCTAAAGAAAGACATGTAATATTAGCTGTCAATAATAGCTGTTAAGTGAAGAAAAATTACTTTATTCTTATAACATAATACAGCTAATGAAATTCTTCTCTGAGTTGGGAGTATAGGTTTTCATTGAAAGTGCATTAACATGTTGAACCTGTGGTCTTCCAGTCTTGCCCATTCTACTTTGGATTGCAATCTTTGTGTACATTATGTTATCTCATCAGGCTTCCAGACAGATATGCAATTCATTAGTTCCGTATGTAAAGCAACTGAAAATGGATTCTTTCATAGACCCATAAAAAGTTAGTTCTATACAATGGTTTGCCAGCATTGGCAGTTTACTCAAACTGGGATCAGCTATATAAAATATTAATGTGTAGAGATTTGGCCAATGGAAAGATCCATAGAGATTTGAAATTTTCAAGGTAAATAGCACCCTAGGGACAAACCAGTTGACCAGAGAATTACATTTGATTCAAATATGTAACAACTATGCAGTAAGTTTCTTCGAAAAAATTAATTGTTCCTTTTGGATTTCCAATAATTCCACTGTCTTGGTGTACTGGTAGGCAATTTGATGGACACCTAAGTATTGGAGGGCAAAAGGTAAATGCAATTTTAGCTATTATATATACAGTATATTGTTTGTGTAAATCTTCCGTTCTATCTACCGTATATAAAGATAGTTATTGTTGTGGTATGCGGTTAATTCTGCTATATATAGTGTTCACTTTAAGTTGTACTTCTTCACAACCAATTGAGACTGAAAATAGACCAAACATTTCCTGAAATGACTTAATTGCAGAGACAATGGAATCCATTTGTCGTATTATGGCTGGCGCTAAGCCGAATTTCAATTCAAATATTTGTACTTTTGTGGATTTGCTGAAAAAACTAGAAAAGACACATTCAAAGGTTGAACAAAGGCATATTGTTTATGTTATATATCATGTTCTACTCTAGCAATAGTGAGAAAAATTCCATTGAACACTGTCATGAAATATGCAACTGGTTTCAGTGATTTCCCCAGAGTTGAAGTTCTTGCTGACTTGCATAACGGGCTCGGTGAATAAAGGCACAGGGCAGATAATGAGTTCAGTGTCTTGAAAGTGAATTGATGCTTGCTAGCTCTCAACTCTGCATGGGGAATTCTTTTATGGACAATTTTCAAGGCCAAAAGGCTAAAACATTGTGATTTGAGTTAATTGTGAATTTGGTGCTGCTTGCAATCCAATATGCTTGTCTAGTTTCACAAGATTAATCTGAATGGCTTAGTATTATATTCAGGAAATACTAGTATTAATCCAATTAATATGCTATTTGTATTATTTGACAATCATGTAACTTGTTTTTCTATTATTCAGGTGCATTTGCACTGTCAGTAAAATTAGTTTGATTATTGTCTATGCCTATATATACACAGCCAAGCCTTTCACATAGCTGACTGTCTGACTGTTGTGGAACTCATTTTATTTTTGCTGGTGTGAATTGATGTTTTTATTCACTCACTGTAAAGATACCAGTTCTAGACTTTTATGCTTTATGGTTGCCATGCAGACTGTTCAAGTATGACAACTCATATTGATGATTTGCAATTTTGGTACATTTGGAATATTGGTTGTGTGAAGTGATGCACCTTGTGACAGAGCTCTGGTGAGATACCTATTGTTTACCGTTGTGCTTTATCTTAGCCACCTAACATGTCATTTGAATTATGACAATGCCATAGTTATGTTGTTTGACTCGAGTACATTTAGCCAATAGCAATAAATCAAGGGCCCTGTAGTCTGCCACCTTGAATCACATTTTGATACTGCAATCACAATAGTTTACCAGGTACCCATCTGGCAGATTGATGTTTCTGATGAAAATTCATAAAGTGATTTCTACATCTGTCAAAGGAAATTATGTTTTCATTGGTTTTGGTTTGTATAAGATATCTCAAAATAAGTTCCTCACAAATGTTGATGAAATATTTAGAATTGACAGTCACTCTTGGGAGAGAGAAGTGATCCTCTGATCCTCTAGTTTAAAAATAATTTTATTGCCTTTTTCCTTGGTTGAGGTTTGGGTTCTTGGGGGAGATCTGTACCAAAAATTTGTAATTAGTACCACAGCTGGTACATGCACTTTTTAAATGTTGTAACCATGTTCTAAACCTGTGAGGTTTTCAATGGTGAGAGATCAGTCATGTTTTTAGTGATGTTTACTGTATTTCCTGACTTTTAGCACATGATTATTACACCAGGACAGATGTAGACACAAGCACAGACAGCTCCTTGTCGTCTGCAGGTTATTCTTAAATGTATCTGATTATTTGACCTAAAACCTATTCTTTAAATTGATGCCTTTCCTGTTCTGTCAGTGGTGAAGGTTATGATGACTGATTATCTACCTCGAATCAAGTTGAAGAAGATTCTCAGTGGGATTCAACAGAATATACTTTTCACATTTCCAGGATATGACATGCAAATACAGTATTTGTCAATCAGCATTGCTATTGACATTTTTTTGATACTGTCTAGGTGCTTCAAAGGTCAAGTGGCATACCTTGGTCTCTTGGCCTCGACAACGATTGTTGCAAACTAACACCGATGGTGGTATTGATCACCACGGTATTGATCACTACCAGCACACATAGACTGCTTGGTCATTCCATCAGTACTTTTTCCAATTGGTTTGATTGATTGATTGTCTTGAGGGAAGTGCTTTCACAGTCAATGCTAATTGGTTCAAGGAAATAGTCCATAGTAAGAGACTGGACAGCAATATCCCTGGGAATGTCTATTCTTTCAGCAAAATATCTCAATTGACTTATGTGCATTATCTTTAAACGAACCTAAGGACAAATGCTCTCTACTTATGTTAGTTATTCCTATTGCTTCAAGCAAGCAAGTTTCCTGTTATGAAATCTTCTTGAAGTACTGAATTTGAAAAATCCTGTGGGATCTGTTGGCAGGACTTTTTATCGGTTAGAATTTTCTGCAAACGTGCAAGGGAGGTGATTAGATATAAGGCAATATTGATTGTTTTTCAAAGTTGAAGGTACTGACTGTCATCCTCTTAGCATACTTAGAAAGTAGAAAGAGAACCAAAAAACTCAGTGTCATTTGTATTGATACCTTTCACCCTTACTGTAGCCATCTGATTTGTGTGTAAGGTTAAAAAAAAAGGCACAGTGACAGGTACTTTTGTCATGGAATATTTTAAAGACATTTTTCTTTGTCAAGCTACATAATAAGGATCATATTGTTCAAAATAAATGGAAGAGGTTTTGAATTTGCATTTGTGGCAGGAAGATTGATTTCATCTGAAGAAATGAAATTAAGAGCAAATATGTAGGCTGAAATTGTGTGACTAGAAGATCCAGGTTCTTGCACTTCTTCAATTATATATTGCTTTATTAGAAAACCTAATGGTCATTAATTACCCTTTCAGCTCCAAATCAGTAGTTTGATTTAAGAATATTTAAGATGCAGTAGCAGTGACTGACTGCTTTGGCTCCTCCACCTCTTTATTTATGATAGCTTTAGTATTTTATAACCAGGATGTCATATAAATCTCAGTTAAATATTTATGAAACACAAAACAGAAAGTTTTTATGAAATATATTTTATCTGAATTATGTTATCTAGAATATTATGTGATGTAGATTAGATAAACAGTAGATGTCTTTGTAATGCATGTATTAAGTGCTCAATAAATTTATTATTATTATTATTATTATTATTATTATTATTATTATTATTTTACTTGGGGACAAACCTTGTCAAATACCAGCAAATGCCTTCATCCATTGTTTTCCAGACCATTGCATTAGGGTTGGTCATTCACCTGGCAGTCATTGACCTAAGTCACTGACCATCAGCCATACAAATCCTCTTAGGTGTTTTTTGTTCATGTGCCTGACTGCACTAAATAGTGTAGATAGAAGATGATAGTCTATAGTATATGAATGAATACATGTAGCTTATCGTGCATGGCTTCATTAGTGTATTTGTCTATAATAAAGCTGTATGTCCAAGATTATGCAACACTGCTAGACAGTGGGATACTTACAGTCTTCAAGAGTCCTCTGAGTATCATATATATGTACCAGAATTCCTGTATGAAATTATCTGCTATTATCTATGTTACGATTTCCTGACTGAAACTGTACAACATAAACCATAGAATTAACAGTCTGAAGAAGAGCAAAGAATACAACTTAATTGTGAAGTTGGTTTGGGGAATAAAGTGGAAAATCTGACAAACAGGATTGGTTTGCACAACCTTCTACTGTGTGTGTGTGGGNGTAATGCATGTATTAAGTGCTCAATAAATTTATTATTATTATTATTATTATTATTTTACTTGGGGACAAACCTTGTCAAATACCAGCAAATACCTTCATCCATTGTTTTCCAGACCATTGCATTAGGGTTGGTCATTCACCTGGCAGTCATTGACCTAAGTCACTGACCATCAGCCATACAAATCCTCTTAGGTGTTTTGTACATGTGCTTGACTGCACTAAATAGTGTAGATAGAAGATGATAGTCCAGGGGTGGATCCAGAGATATTTTCTGACAGTCTTCCAAAGTATCTTTGTTGATCCGTCCTCCATTTTTGACCGTCTTCCAAAAGAAAAAATTAGATACCCGTATATGTGAACTTGAAAATCTGACCATCTTCTGGAAGACCCAGAAGACGGCCTAAATCCGCCCCTGATAGTCTATAGTATATGAATGAATACATGTAGCTTATCCTGCATGGCTTCATTAGTGTATTTGTCTATAATAAATAAAGCTGTATGTCCAAGATTATGCAACACTGCTAGACAGTGGGATACTTACAATCTTCAAGAGTCCTCTGAGTATCATATATGTACCAGAATTCCTGTATGAAATTATCTGCTATTATCTATGTTACATTTTCCTGACTGAAACTGTACAACATAAACCATAGAATTAACAGTCTGAAGAAGAGCAAAGAATGCAACTTAATTGTGAAGTTGGTTTGGGGAATAAAGTGGAAAATCTGACAAACAGGATTGGTTTGCACAGCCTTCTACTGTGGGGAGGGGGGGGGGGATGTTGGTAAATTGTATCTCCAATGTTAAAGGAAGTGGTTACCTGTCTTAACAGCACTGTCAGACTTCCCATATAGTTACAGTGAANTAAACCATAGAATTAACAGTCTGAAGAAGAGCAAAGAATACAACTTAATTGTGAAGTTGGTTTGGGGAATAAAGTGGAAAATCTGACAAACAGGATTGGTTTGCACAACCTTCTACTGTGTGTGTGTGGGGGGGGGGGGGGATGTTGGTAAATTGTATCTCCAATGTTAAAGGAAGTGGTTACCTGTCTTAACAGCACTGTCAGACTTCCCATATAGTTACAGTGAAAAACAATGAAACCTGAACAACAACCCCAAAAACCACTATATTTACATGAATGGATGGGATTCATGAAGACAGACTAACATGGCTTTTGGCAATAATCCATTTTTATTGTGGTAGGCATTTGTCATTTTAATAGGCTATGACATATTCAGAGCTATTAACTTCAAGCCTCAGGATGTCACTTGGAAATTGAGATTGGGCTTTAGTATAGTTTCTTATTTTTAAGGTAAAAAAGATGATCATATTTTCATATCAAATGTTCCTTTGTTGCGTCATAGCCTTGGCAACAAGGTTCTTTGATTAAGTAAAAATAAGTAAAGAAAAAAAAAAGATGCATGAAACACTGAGACCCAGATAATAAGTTATTGCACTAATTACTGTTTGTCATTGAAGAATGATATCAGATTTCACATTAACTGGACCTTCAATTGCTTTCCAATCATTAATTAATAAATTCTTGAAAAGGCCCAAAAGTGTAAGCTAACAGTTCAAAGCCGTCAGTGCTTTTGTTCTGCCTGACTGCATCTCTTTGGCATTGATCGGCTATACTTACAGAGGCTTAATAGAAATCAATCTTTTGAGAATTTCTAATACAAGCTCTTAAGTAAGGCTAGATCAGGTCTGAGCTGGATTTTAGAGCCATTCTGGGACAAACCTTTTTTTTTTCATAGTGCAAACATGGTTTAATACTTTGCAGAACGTGATGAAAAATGGATTTTCTTAAAAGTTCTTTTTGGTTTTCCAATACTTGTCGATAATTGTTTGGAAGTTGTTGAAAATACAAAGCCTAATGTTGAATGCCTGACTATAACTAAAACAGATGCCAAATCATTACTGCAATCTTACATCCACATGCAAAGATTTTTTTCCATGCCCAAACAATCNGTTTGGGGAATAAAGTGGAAAATCTGACAAACAGGATTGGTTTGCACAGCCTTCTACTGTGGGGAGGGGGGGGGGGATGTTGGTAAATTGTATCTCCAATGTTAAAGGAAGTGGTTACCTGTCTTAACAGCACTGTCAGACTTCCCATATAGTTACAGTGAAAAACAATGAAATCTGAACAACAACCCCAAAAATCACTATATTTACATGAATGGATGGGATTCATGAAGACAGACTAACATGGCTTTTGGCAATAATCCATTTTTATTGTGGTAGGCATTTGTCATTTTAATAGGCTATGACATATTCAGAGCTATTAACTTCAAGCCTCAGGATGTCACTTGGAAATTGAGATTGGGCTTTAGTATAGTTTCTTATTTTTAAGGTAAAAAAGATGATCATATTTTCATATCAAATGTTCCTTTGTTGCGTCATAGCCTTGGCAACAAGGTTCTTTGATTAAGTAAAAATAAGTAAAGAAAAAAAAAAGATGCATGAAACACTGAGACCCAGATAATAAGTTATTGCACTAATTACTGTTTGTCATTGAAGAATGATATCAGATTTCACATTAACTGGACCTTCAATTGCTTTCCAATCATTAATTAATAAATTCTTGAAAAGGCCCAAAAGTGTAAGCTAACAGTTCAAAGCCGTCAGTGCTTTTGTTCTGCCTGACTGCATCTCTTTGGCATTGATCGGCTATACTTACAGAGGCTTAATAGAAATCAATCTTTTGAGAATTTCTAATACAAGCTCTTAAGTAAGGCTAGATCAGGTCTGAGCTGGATTTTAGAGCCATTCTGGGACAAACCTTTTTTTTTCATAGTGCAAACATGGTTTAATACTTTGCAGAACGTGATGAAAAATGGATTTTCTTAAAAGTTCTTTTTGGTTTTCCAATACTTGTCGATAATTGTTTGGAAGTTGTTGAAAATACAAAGCCTAATGTTGAATGCCTGACTATAACTAAAACAGATGCCAAATCATTACTGCAATCTTACATCCACATGCAAAGATTTTTTTCCATGCCCAAACAATCTTTACATTTCAAATACAATAATAATAAGTAGGAATATTGTTGAGTCATAGCCCTTATGAGACTACAACAAAACTTATTTTGCCTTGTAATCAATATATGTTTCAAGAACTTTTTTCAGTACCTAAAAAATAATGCTTACTTGGGGACAGATTAGATTTTTTTTTAAAATCAGCATATTAAATTTCTGATGTCAGTGGAGATTGGCTGACCAGATTTCATTACATACCATCATAGTAGGCACTCTAATAATTTAATGCATCTCAAATCATAGGTAGCCAATCTTATGCAATAGAAGCCTATTGAGACAGTTGATGAGTTGTTTGTAAATATTGTAACTTATTTTATTTATTCCCAGTTCACAAATTTTCATTGATATTCTAAAAAGAGGCAAAAATGAGGCAACAGAGATTCATAATTTTGTTTGTAAAACAGATTCACAATGGGGTGTAAGAATAGACTAGAATAAGTGTTCCCAAATTAAAGTCACACTTTACACATAATGTATTATGCTGTACCGACTAGACAAATGGTTCAAATTTACAATTTAACGCATGCTTAAAATCTGGTTCAAATATTCTTTGTATCAGACATAAGCTTTTTCCATGGAAATGTGGAATTCTGCATTTTTTAATTCAATTCTGATGGTGCCTGAGATTCGTCAGGCCGGTTAGGTATTGCATCCCATGATAAATGTTCAGTTTTTTTAACCTAGGCTCATATCTGATGTATATTGTACACAATGGAAAGATAGGCATTGCTCAGATATTTTCTCCTATCTTGAATAACAATTGTGAGATGTCTGACACCTGTTAATGCATCTGGTCATTAATTGTCAGTCTTTTTCCAATAGCTACTGTTCTTCATATGTCAGTCATTCACATAGCTGAAAATGTACATAAGGATATATTATTGCAAAACGACATAACAATGAATTTCTATGGCAGAAATCCAAAATGACAGAAGTCTGTAAAAGAATGTAAAGAAAAAAATTATATATATATATTTAATTTTTTTAAGACAGCAGTCCACCTTGATGGGATTTGTCGAAATGATAAAAATTATATAACATGATTGTAGAAGTAATTAAAAAAAACACATACTTAAAAAATATATTTACACAATGGTAATGATGGTTTGCTATCATATGATAATGATAACCTTTCTGACAGCCAGGTGCCCATAAATTTTTCAAATCAGCTATCGAAATAATAGAAGTGATAGCTGAGATATACAATGCTCTATGATAATAGATGTGTGTACTTTTATTGGAAATAGATCAAGCAGTACTGATAATATAAAAAATGTATCTGGTTCTTGCATGGTCTTATTTGTGCAATGTCTATTAATACCAGTAAGTACAACAACTTTGCAGTTGGATCATATGGATAAGGCCATGCAAAAATTCCATCATAATGATGATAATGACATTAATGATTGTACATCTGCTTGCAGGTAATGGGCATAACCTTTCTAGCAGCCGGAACTAGTGTCCCTGATCTCATTACCAGTGTAATTGTAGCAAGAAAAGGATATGGGGACATGGCTGTGTCCAGTTCAGTTGGGAGCAATCTTTTTGATGTGACTGTGGGGTAAGTTGAGGAAAATGTGTTTATTTATTTTATACCACTGCACTCCCCACAAAAATGCCAAAGTTTTTATACCAACATGTAGATCATTATATTACATTTCATTGGTTTTGTTTTATTCATTTAAAATGCATAATTATGTTTTCATTTTTCAACATTGTTTTAAAAAGGTAGCTCTATTGTTTGGTTCAAAGATTCATCAGTAGATTAAAATGACAGATTATATTTCTTTGCCCTTAACGTGAAACCTCTTCTAAATGTCAAACCACAAGAGACTGTAGTTTTACACGTGAGGAAGTGAGAACAGAATGGTTTAGTGGATTTCAGAGACAATTTAAACATTTGAGGTGATGCCTGACATGAAGGATATTGAAAATTTTATTAAAAAGAAGTTTAAGAATAAAAGAAAGTGATAAATGATATGAAAAAAGAATTCATTAAGGGCGCATTCCCATAGATTTTGGATCGATCTATCCCCGTGGGGAGTCTCACTAGATTACTGTCAGATAATCTGGCTTAAATGTCCGTCCCGCCTACTACAAGCTGTAAGGGGGTAATTAACTTTCGTACCCGCTCGGCTGACAGCTATTTAGCGTGAACCCCCAGGGAGTTAGGTCGATCTAGTTGGATCGATCTAATCTCTGGGAATGGGATCTAAGTCTTCAGTTAGTTATTAATGGCTTTCTCTGAAATGTCCTATATTTTTTTGGTGGATGCATCCATCACAATCATCAAAGTCTGTACAAACAATAATAAAATTTAAATTATTTTTTCTCATTTGTCTCCATTACTTAAGTTCATCCCAAATAGAAACCTTACTGTCCACACACCGAGATATTAATGATATACAAATTGTAGATCCAACAGCTTAGCCTTTTTACGTGAAACAATTAATTTACCCATCCCTTTTTATCTTGTATGTATCTGTAATGAAAAGACGGATGCGATTTTAAAACAGTAGAGATAATGTAAAAATGACAGTTAATAGAAAATATGATGAAAACATGCTATTTAGCAGACTATCCTTAAATCAAACATGTCAGTATGCATTTACATACACGTGAAAGAACTTTATAAATGGATTTCTTAATATCTTAACTCTTTCCTTTTTGGATTGAATGTGATTGTATTTTAAAGGAACATTAGTTATACATTCTGTAAAAGAAATAGATATTTCATCAGCTATAGCATGTCATGTACTAAGAATAAAGCAGGAACCTTTCTTCAATCAAAAGCTTATATTGAAAATGTGTTTTGCCTCCAATGTTCCGATGTCTGAAGTGTAGACTATATTGTGAACCCAGAATGGAAGCTTTTCAACTGGATAGCTCCATTCCTGGAAGAAGATGCTCTAGATCTGATCCCCTAATAAGACATACAGACACTTAACTTGAAGTCTGCTACTGAATATCATGTATTTCTTTTTCCAGATTACCATTCCCATGGCTGCTGAGTGCCATAATCTACTGGCGGCCCATATCTGTGGACAGCCAGGGTCTCTACTGCTCTGTGGTCCTCCTCTTCCTGATGTTGTTATTTGTGGTCTGCTCTGTAGCAGCATTCAAGTGGAAGATGAGTAAAGGCCTCGGGGTAGCCATGTTTGTACTCTATAGTGGGTTTCTGGCAACCAGTGTGCTGCTTGTTTTAGGGTTTTTTCAATGCCCATTTTGATACATAAATAATGGAATAGTGGCGTTTGGGTCTGTCTCACTATCAATAAGCAATGAAGGTAATACTAAAATGCTAAAACAAAGGCCGTCACATCTATTCCATATTTTAAGACATCATGATAGAAATTCTAAATTATATTGAGTAAGACAAATGACAAAGACAATCTGTGACTGCATAATTTATTTGTAGTTCATGTACATGTATATGGAGAAATAGAATCTCTGTTTGTGATGCAGTTTATCATAATACAATCCAGCATGTATGACATTGCGGATTTTAACCTTTGTGACTAGTCAGCATTTATGGGGTCTAGGCCAGTTGTGGATCCAAGATATTACTGACAATGCTGGTTGGCTCACTATCAGAGTTCTAGAGGTTGTGGGGAAACTTCAGATTCTAGCGACAAAAGGATAATTAGCGTGAGCTTCTGACACCTCTGAAACTCATTTTTTTATTTTTTTTTGGGGGGGGGGGGGGACAAACAAATGTGTTTGCTTTAATTTTTTTTTTGATTGAAGCTGATGGGGTGCATCATGACCTCTGCTCTGGATCCGTCATATTAATACATATATTAATCAACAAGTATTATATATACATGTACACAAATACTTACATATAGATATTCGTTCCACTTATTCCCTTGATACATCAACTACTTTTGTTGATGGGTTTTAATGTTTTCTTTTTGTTTAAGGTTTTGTTTAGATTACACGCACAATCTTTTCTCAACAGTATTTGATATTTAGTGTTTTCCTGATATATTGAGAAACAATTTAAAATTGTCACTTATTTCTCTATTTATAAAATGATTTGTTTGCATTATATTTGCTTTAGTTTTCCTGCTTTGATACTTTGCCTAATTGTTTAAAATCATAACATGTACCTCACTTTTCACTGATGTTTATTGATCAGATTTTTGACAGAATTATTGACAGTAGTAAATATAAGATGAGTTAATTTGCTTTCAGTTTTTATGTTTGCATGAAGAATTTGTCTTACTTGATAAGTGCTGTTGTTTATACTAGTAGGACAAAATTTAAGTGATACCAGCCTATCTGTGATAATTTAAGATTTGGGGAGATTTAAAATTTTCTTTTTAGTGTAATATTATCTTTAAGTTATTTATTATTTAAGATTTCAGTATTAAGGCATCAGGAGCATACAGTATAAGTTCTTATTTTTGAATAAATACACAAGAAGTAACATTTTACAGGGTTATGGTGGGGGGGGGGGGTGAGACAACCAAGTATGGCAATTTTCCAATGTATCCACACCAATAATAATTATACCATTTGTGAAAGCTTTTTTTAAGATGTACAATTAATACTCCATATTTCAAAATATATTACACAAGATATTTAAGCATGAAATGCTGCACAGTGCAAGTAATTGGGATTACTGCATGTCTTAATAGTTTTCAAACATTTTAGGGGTTTTTATTTTATTGTTTAATAGCAACCTTTACAAAATAGTGAACATTGTTGCTATAAGTTTCAATGTGTTAGAGTTATCACATTCCAGAATACTGCCACTGTGTATTAATGTACATTAAACTTATTTATTAAGACATTGCAAAGCTTAAATATACTGTACATTGCATTAAAAATATGTTGCATAACTTGTACAGCCACCCTGACGAGCATTGTAAAATGTCCCACTTTCTGTTTACCTGTGCTATAATATGGACTGCCATTTCTGCTGAATAATATCCTAACTGTTCTACTCATAAAAATGTTTTAATCCATGATTAATAACAAATGGTACCCAGTTATTGATAGAGAACGATAGTGTGATCTTTCATAATTATATGCTTCTTGTGCAACAGTCATACTTGTAGTCAGAGACGTTCCATGCTTATCTGAGGTGTTTATCACCGTGGCAAATTTTTTCAATTTTTTTCTAGGATATCTAATATCCTGTTAGATTAAGTCATTTGGCATTGAAAAGCTTCAGTGTTTGTCATAGTTGATCATACCTTGAAAGTATTTCGGAATCTTGCATAAAAGATGCAAGAAAGGTTTATCATTGTTAATCACTATAAGAGATATTATTTTACAGCACTTAATTTGGAATTAATCGTGAATATTGATTATAAGGTAAGAAGTTTCTTTCTCAGCTACATCCTATCAGGTAGAAATTAAAATGAGTTTGACATTAAAACAGTGGGCTGGCAATGTCTGTATGGCATGAGTGTATGCAGCATTGTATTGGTCTCATTTCCTGCCACTTTATAATTGTCAATTTCTCATCAATTATTTAAGGTGTAGATGATACCTCTGAATTGTAAAGGTGCCTCTTGGCATAATTGAAGTCTATGGGCTTAATTACAGTATGCACTTTTGCATAATCTTATATAATGATAAAAGAAAAGTACTTAAAAGTATGAATGGCAGATGACAATCAGTGTTTGTTATAGAATGTGGAATTAACAATTGTGAAGATTGTACTTGTTATTATTCACCGTCGATCTTAATTAAAAGGAATATAAAACTATTGTGAATATTTTTTGTTTGTGTTTTCCCAGGCACTGCCCCTGTACATGCCACCAGTTACCTGTAAGTGTGATAACAACTGCAGTTTGCCCTTGAAGGTGGTAATATAAAATTATTGACTTTGGCTGAGGTAGATATTTTTTCTGCAGACCTCAAAATAGTGATATCCACTGAGATGCAGTCAAGTTCAATATCATTTTTCTTAGGTCTGCCAAACAACACTGACCAAAAGCAAAAGCAATTGTTTTATTATATGATTCCATACCTTCATTTCAATGTTCTCCAAAATAACATGGAAGTTAGAAATATAAAATATGTGTCCCTTTCTATGGCTCAAAAATCAATCAGAATATCACAAAAAAAAACAAAAAAAAAAAAAAAAATCATGATTACATGATAACAATAGAATGCAATCTTACTTGGTATTTCCCGGAAAGCTTATGAAACTCAATAGTGCCTGATGATACTGCAGAGTTTTGCCAAGTACACCTCAGTTTACCCAATATAAGATCGTATTTATAATTCTGTTCTTTAAGTTAAATGATAATGATTTTTTTCCTTTTTCATGACATGATTATTTAATTTTGGTTTTTGTACATCTTCCTTCAATATGGCAATATCTGAAAAAATAAGTGGAGGTTATTCAACTTAAATTTTCAAAGAAGAAAAAAATCAGTAAAATAGGTCTCGCATCTATGGAGCCAATTAAAATGTGAAATCGATATGGTGCAAGCTGTTTTCATGCCTGCAGGCTCTGATGGACCATGGTAAATTTATTGTTACTGTGTTGGGTGCAATCAACCAAGTACACACACTCTTTAGTTACTCCACAGAGTATCTAAATTGACATTTCAAACATCCACAATTTTGGCAATCAGGATCGGATATGGATGAAACTTGGTAATTGCACAAGACCACAAATGTAGTATTAGTTCACACAATATGATGCCATTACATCAAAAATAAAAATACAAAAATACAAATTATTTTAAACTTGTCAATGGGCTTTTCCATGTAAATTTCAAAACTTATCTGACAAGTAATAAACTACAAAAGCAGTCTTGGTATGCTGATAGTTGATGAAAAGTGAAAGCTATTCAAAATATTTCTCCATCTACCCTGGTGGATTTTATAATTAAGTAGTATATTGTACACATTTTTGTCAACCTGAGTGTGAAATAATGATAACGTTGATTCACAATAATTGTGTGAGGCTTCAAAAGTTCCTTATGATGAACACAGATGTTCTTTTTACATCGATGTACTTTTTGCCACCCTTTCACCCCTTTATAAACTGGACACCCGACAGTCTCAATTACACCTATTGCTACAGGTGCGACTCGATGTGAAAAGCAATCATAAATCACATCCAGATCACAATCCAGATCAACATGTTTTTTTAATCGAATGTCTAAATTCAAATCTCAAACAATTCCTGTGATTCATATTCGTACAAAAAACACAAAAAGAATAACTAGTTCAATAATTGCTGTCCTATTTTGTAATCCCACTATAGCGTGGTTACGTTCTGTGTACGTGCACCGCCATCTTTAATTTACCGGCAGCATGGCGGATGCTGCTGCCCGTCAGCTTCAATATGAATACAAAGCGGTAAGTATTTTTCATGAAGATGGATCACGCACTTGTAGAATAAACTAGTTGCTTGCAAATTTGCAGACGTAGAGGCGTAATAGTGGCGCATTACTTCTGGTGATCACCACTGAGGTAATAGATAGGGTTTATGACTCGCTAATGAGAACCACAAAGAAAACTTGTGACTGGTCTTACAGTTGCAGTTACACTTCACAGACAGAGTACAGGTTGAAATGATAATGTTATGTTTGCGAGAGTATTGGAAAGCACGCTGAGCAACAAATGATTTGCATTTGGTTAAGGCTGATATTGATGATGCTGCTTAAAGCATTATGCACATTATGTGCATGCTTTCACAATTTGCAGCAATATTTAGTTAAGTATCTGGTTACTCCGTGGCAGCTGATCCAAATAAAATGTAATCTACCTCTCTGGACTCCTGATTACTTTTTAAGCACTTATTCTTGGGATACAGTCTGAAAGGCTTAGGTAAATTTAAGATACAAGGTGTCCAAATAATAATGTGTACCCTCTGTCTCACTTACATTGCACCTGTGTGTCACCCAAAGCAGTAGAGTGAAGTTTTTTATCAATTTGGGGCATAGTTTTATGACCAGTACAGACTTCGTGTAATATAGTAGTGTAGAAAATGTTTGAACAAGATTTATAAGTTAATTACAAAGAAACATCCTTATATTTGAATTGATTGAAATACAGCAATAAAACCTTTGTAAAATATGGATCGATTGTCAGGGCTCAACATAGACATTCGACCCTGCCTCTTCCTCAACAAGTTTGAGGTCATTACTTTATTCGTATTATTTTATATTCTATAATTTGTCACTTGGTTCTTCTTTTCAGAACTCTAATCTTGTACTTCAAGTCGATCGGTCGCTCATTGACCGGCGTGCCAGAGATGAGGCCACGGGAGAAGTCATGTCCCTGGTGGGCAAACTGGTGGGAACTAAGATGGGAGATAAATCCATGAGAACAAAACCACCACAGATGGAAGAAAGGAAGGCAAAGTAAGCAATGTAGTCCTTATTATTGCCTGTTGTTCCATACTGAATTGAAAAAAAAAATGTACTGGAAAGCTGAATTATCTGAGTCTATGTGATTTATTATGATGTCTCTTAAGTAGCATCCATGAGAATGCATGAGTTCAGACATGCTGAAACTGTCGGTCCGATCGGTCATGACCGGGAAAATTTGTCTGGCCCGGTAAAAAATTGGACTTGTTTGGTCCAAAGGACCGACACGAGTTTTAAGAACCACATTTTGAATTTGTAGTCATCATTTGACATACTTCACTAATGAAATTATATAAAACCCTAAGCATTTTTCCCCTTCATTTCAAACCTATCACACTCACAAACAAAGTAATCTACCCAATTGTACTGGTAGTATCTGTCTCAAAGAATAGGGTGATTTTCGGTCCGACAAAAATCTATTTGGTCCAGCAAATTTTTCATTACTGCCTGTCCAAATGTCCAGCCATTCTGAAAAGTTTCAGCATGTCTGTGAGTTCATACTAAGGTCAACTAAGTTAAAGTCATAATAACTCTTCATTTTGGCCAAAAATTGGATTTTCCTGGAGTAAACGGCAATTTTCCCGTACTTACCAATGGTCAGCGACCCCATTCCTGCATTCAAAGTTAATCCAGGGTTTTTTTCCTAAACGTACGGTTTTTTGTTAAAATCTCTTAAGAGATTTTAACTGACGGAGCTCTCTCTGACATCGCATAGTCACTGTTGACCTACTTAAAACCGCGGGAAAAGCAGACAACAACAACACTATATAAGATTCATGAGATATATTCGTCTTTTTGTTAAAAATACATTAATATCCACAATGTGTGCCATTCTGGGCTTTTCGTTATCCGACGCACTGTACAAAAACTCGCAACTTACGTCTGCGTCTGCATTAATGCGTTTGGCACCATATGTTATTTTGGTCTCGAATGAACGCGAGAGTCCGCGTGACACCATTACGTCATTAGCAACGAATGCCTTGATGACCAGGAAGAAAAGCATCGTAAGCCCTATTGACAAGCACAGATTTTAGTTTTACTACAATAACGGCCGTTTTAGTGGTAAAATACAATAGAATATATTTCCATGCGTTGTTTACAATGTATTTCATGCGGAATTTTGAATCTCAAAGGAAGAGTTATTATTGCTTTAAGCTTGTGATGTTTAATGTGCTTAACCAACAGTGATAACTTCTTTTAAATCTGAAAAAAAAAAAAGTTTGTGGCCTTTGTGATTACTGTATCATTGAATCATATGGTGAATAATTTTAATTAAAAATTAACTACTGTAATATAGCTGTTTATGTGATTGACAAGAATGAATTTACAAGTACACATATTTTTACTTTACAGATTTTACTTCTACAGATTTTTGTTGAAAATTTGAAAAGAGAGGAATGATGACGAGAAGAAAAGGGATGAAAAAATAACTCAATTTTGATGGCTTGGGGTTTTTTAGATAGAGTTTGTTGTAATTTGTTAACCATTTGCCCTTCTCTAACCAGGCGGCGAAAGCGTGATGAAGCTCAGCGGGACATGTTGAAGATGAAGGGTCAGTCCCTGTTGTCTGAGGGGATAGATGAGATGGTGGGCATCCTGTACAGACCCAAGACACCAGAGACCAGGCAGACTTATGAAGTTCTGCTCAGTATTATGCAGAGTGCACTTGGAGATCAGGTACATTAGAGTCTTGTTAATATGTAGGTAAATTAAATATGTTTTTGATGAGAAGTTATGAAGGAAAGGAATGTGTTGCCAAAGTCTTCTTTTGAAGGGATCATCACTCAGAGATGAGGTAGACTTATGTTGCAAATGAAAGTTCAAAATTAAATTTTCTAAAGATGTCTTTCTTTGTTACTAAGTTGTCGCATTAACAGTGTATTTCTTTAATGTAATGAAGCTGTAATGAACAGGTTACCTTGGACTTAAAGGTAGGCTGGGGTTGAAGTTGGTAGAATTTGGAACAAAAAATGAACTGAGAATTATTTTGCAAATGTAGGTAATTAACACTTGAAAAGGCTTGTCAAGTATTAAATGATGAAAAAAATATCCATCTATTTCATGAAGTGAGTATTTCTACTAATATTTGGTTCTGTTGGTTCCAGCCCAGGGATGTATTGTGTGGTGCTGCCGATGAAGTCTTGGCTGTGTTGAAGAATGACAGAATGAAGGATAAAGAGAGGAAGAAAGAAGTGGAGGCTCTCCTAGGGGAAATGCAGGAGGAAAGGTTTGCTCTGCTGGTGAATCTTGGGAAGAAGATCAGTGACTGGGGCAGTGAAGAGAAGATGCAGACAGGTGAGGGTCTTGAATACAGTGTAGTTTTTCAAAGCCACTTCTGGGATGACTCTAGGACAGGGTTTCTCTTAGTAAGAGTGGAATATGACTTTATCCAAGTGAAAATTGTAAACAAAATAATGAAATGTTTGGTTAAATTGATGAAATATTTAACATTTTTCCTAGTCATATTATCATAGTTTAAGCAATTGGCTAATGTTTGCTGCCCTAGTTTGAGCCAAGTATTACAAAATAAAAAGGTTGAGAGCATTGATGTTGAAATGTTTTTAATTTGACAAATTCTGTTATTCTAAGTTATTCTAAGTTTGGCAACACGAAGCAAGTTCTGTTCCATAAAGGTGTCACATCAAATGATATGTAATATGATTACTAGGTATTTTCAGTGTCTGAAAAGAAGCCAAACAAATATTAGTTGGTAAATTTGTAACAGATGTGGAAGACTAAAATAAAGATAAGCACTTGATTTTATATAAGCATAATATCTGTTTACCACAGATGACAGCATGGAAACATTTGGTGTCAATGTCCAGTTTGATGAGTCTGAGGAGGAGGATGAGGAGGATGCTTTTGGTGAGGCACGAGGAGAGAGCGAGGATGAAGATGACGAGGGAGTTGAGGCACATGTGGATGCTACACTGGTTTCGAGTGTAAGTCAGTTACATTGTAGCCCTTCCTTTAGGCATCTTTTATTACATCATGACACCATTGTGCTTGGAGTGTCAACACACACATTTGTTTAAAGATTATGGCAATGTTTTTGTTCCAAAAAAGTTTTTTTTTTTTTTTTTTGCAAATAAAAGGAAATTTGTTAATTTATATGAAGCATTAAATTAAGATGTCAGCTGTTGGTTTTTATTTCTTCAGCTCTCTGTGGAAGGTGGTGCCAAGGCAGAGAAGGAGTTGCATCCCAGAGATATAGATGCCTTCTGGCTGCAGAGAAGTCTCAGGAAGTACTATGATGACCCAATGGTGGCACAGGCCAAGGCTGGAGAAGTACTGGAAATTCTAAAGGTGACAGAATTTTTAAAAGTTTTCAACTACACCTGCTTGTGCACTTAATCTAGATGTTGCTAAAGCTTGAAGTTTAGGGTTTCTGAAACTTTTGTTTTGGTTGTTTGTTATTGCAATGGTGACATTTTTTCTAATAGACAACAATTTTTGGAATTCTCAAGAAAAACAAGGTACTGTATTTTGCTTCTCTAAGTTTATTAACAATTTTTTACATGAGATTAAGGATAACTTGTTTAGAAAAAACTTAAACTGAATACTGTGGTATAATTATATATAGATGTTCTTGTTATTGTTGTGATATTTTCTCCTGAGCTTAAGAAAGAGTTAACTGATCCCTATAGTTTGACTACGAAGTACTTTTCTAATTGATCTAAATTCTTCTATTTAAGAGCTCATCTGATGACCGTGAGGCAGAGAACCAGTTAGTGGTATTGCTGGGCTTTAATCAGTTTGATTTCATCAAAGTGCTGCGACAACATAGACAAATGAGTGAGTTGGTCATTACAAAACACATCTGTTTCATTTATGCTGTTTTCTTTTACTTTGACTATTGTCTTTAATATTATAATCTTTGTTGTTGTTGATTTTGATAAATTAAAAAGTTAATAATATGTGTTAAACTATGTCTGAAAAACAGTATATTGCAGCTTTTCATTTTTATAATGATAAGTTGAATTGATTTGTTTGAATCACAGTGTTTTGCACTCACTTTTCTTCAGTCCTGTTCTGCACCATGCTTGCTCAGGCCCAGAGCCAAGAGGAAAGAGCAAAAATTGAGGAAAAGATGAGCTCTGATGCGAATTTGTCGAAAATTCTACACACCCTCCAGGAAACAGACAAAGAAGATCTTGTCAGGGAGGAGAGAGAACGACGCCAAGCAAAAAGACAAACGAGAGTTGATGCTGATTTGGAGGCCATGGATACAGATGAAAGACAGGTAAGGGTGCTGGTTGTAGTCACTTCACTAATGCTTCAAACCTATAAGTGGGGATGGGAGGGGGGTGTCAGGGCTGAACCCTTTTTGCTTGGGAAAGGTAAAATCTGATCCAAGTACACAAAGGTTTTAAAATTCAAAGTTAGTAGTGAGGTTAGTGTGGTAACATTTTTGATTAGAATCAAAATATAGTGAAACATCAGTTACAAATGGGTCATGATTTTGAGTTCTTCACAATTTCTCATATAGTCTTTTGTTTGGTGTGTGTCGGAAAGAGAAATGGATACAGTGGTCCTAAAAGAAAAATTAAGGCCTTTTTTTCCTGAGAAGATTGACTATTGAACTAACTGACTGAGTATTCCTATGTGTATACCTGAATTTGTTTAGAAATGACAATCTCTGTATTCCAGGATGTTGGTAATGTCCAGCTGCTTGACCTGGAGGACCTGGTGTTTGGTATGGGCAGTCACCTGATGGCCAATAAGAGGTGCCAGCTGCCCGATGGTTCCTTCAGAAAACAAAGGAAAGGTTATGAAGAGGTCCATGTGCCTGCCTTAAAGCCAAAACCTTACGAAAATAATGAGGTAAATAAGATTGCTTTTTGCTCTTGGTTACTAGACCAATGGGTGTATACTTCCTTGTTCTGTACTGAAAAAAGTACTGCTTTCTGTTTTGTAGGGGAGTAATTTTGACTTTTTTCTAATATTATACCCTTCTATAATGAGTGCCATTAGACTACATAAACAGAATAATAATGGATGATGGTATAGCTATGTGGTTCTTTGTGGCACATATTAATGTATTTTAAAGATACCTGAGGAATTCATAAAACTATATTTATTGATATCTCCAGACCAGAGTTCCCATTGATCGCTTGCCCAAGTATGCCCAGCCGGCATTTGAAGGTTTCAAGAGTTTGAACAGAATCCAGAGTAGGCTGTCCAATGCTGCATTGGAGTCGGACGAGAACTTGCTTGTTTGTGCACCAACGGTAAGTGCTTGTTTTTTTATTTTTTTTATTTTGGTATTAATATCAGTTACATGGAATAGTCTTGGGTGCTTAGGACCCAAAATATTTTATGTGTTGATGGTATATTGGATGTATTTCTAGTTGTAGTAAAAAAAAAAATTAATGAATTATGTAGAGGAAGTACAACAGATCCTAAGTACCATGGTTTTTCAAACCCTTCTAAGCTTACCACAGACTAGTGCAAACCATTAGGCTGTACAGAAACAGAAGGAATAGCAATGGATTACAGTATATTTGAAGACTTTTTCATGTAAAAGGTTTATACTGTATTCCTACAGCTATTAAAAAAGTTATAATTATATTAAGTGTTTTCCAGGTGAAATGTTGGTGATCATACTACACAGATTTACAGTATCTTATTTTAGACCTACCTGTATATGCTGGAGTCATACATATGTTAGAGATACTGAGAATGGATAGATATTAAAGGGATAATAACTCTTCGTATGAAATCTATATTTCACAATAAAAACATTGTGAATAACTCATAGAAATATAATATATTCTGTTTTACGACGAAAACAGCAGTTATAGCTATTATTCTGATATCTGAGCTTGTCTTCAGATCACGTGACCTCCATTGATGGCTATACTCTGTTATAATCTCTTAAGAGATTTTAACATAAAACCAAACTTTTTAGAAAAAAACCAGGGACTTACTTTGAATGTAAAAATGGATTCATTAACCATTGGTAAGCATGGGAAAATTGTTGTTTACTCCAGGAAAATTAATTTTTTGGCCAAAACGAAGAGTTATTATCCCTTTAACATGATAGTAATATATTTCTGCCCATGATTCCAGGGTGCTGGTAAGACTAATGTTGCTCTGCTGACCATCCTGAGAGAGATAGGCAAACACATCAACCCAGATGGCACCATCAACACTGATGAGTTCAAGATCATCTATGTGGCCCCCATGAGGTCCTTGGTACAGGAGATGACTGGGAGCTTTACCAAGGTAAGGGGAAAGCTTATGTTATTGCTTTGAATACAGAGCTAAGATGTGACTACTGAAAGCTTAGATCTCTACTGATATGGTATTACATAGGCTGTCTTTAGCCACGAGTCACATTTCAAAGAACAGTAAGACTAGAGCTGGGCTAGTAAAAGTTCAGATTTTGTTAAGTTTCTGAACAGTATTATTGGTTATCAGAATCTTAAATTTTAGTTTTATGGGTAAGCAAGATTGATGACACAACATGCTTCTACTGTAACAAGTTAATGCAGAAGACACCATCCTCATTTTCTCTTTTATTTGCTGTTAATGTTAACTGGAATGGGCTCCATTATTTTTAATTCCTTACTGATGCCTGAGGCTCTTAAAATAAATTATATACACATTGAATTACCTTTACAGAGGCTGAGTTCCTATGGCATCCAAGTGTCAGAACTGTCAGGGGATCACCAGCTGAGCCGAGAGCAGATCATGGCCACCCAGGTGATAGTGTGTACCCCAGAGAAGTGGGACATCATCACCAGGAAGGGAGGGGACAGGATCTACACACAGCTGGTTAGGCTTATGATTATTGATGAGATCCATTTGTTGCATGATGAGAGAGGGCCTGTGTTGGAGTGTTTGGTGTCTAGGTGAGTTGTTCTGGCAGTGAAACTTGGATTTTTTTAATATAAAGGATTTTAGGAAGATCTATGTGATGAAAAATGAAATTGAGCTCTTTTCATTTAAAATATGGATTAGTGCAAAAAATTTGGCAATGGCTTTTGGCAAAACCAACAAGTCGGGGGCTGGTTACTTACTTTTTCAAAAGATAAAAAGTTTTTGGGATGAAAAAAATTATAAAGGGGGGAAAATATTTTGCAATAACACATGCGTTGTTTTCATGTAAGTCTCATCGTTTTCTGTATTTCTTTTCCAGAACAATCCGCAATATTGAAACAACCCAGGAAGACGTGAGACTGGTAGGTCTCAGCGCCACACTGCCTAACTATGAAGATGTGGCCACCTTCCTGAGAGTGGACCCTGAGAAAGGACTTTTCTACTTTGACAACAGTTTCCGTCCTGTGCCTCTGGAACAGCAGTATGTAGGTGTCACAGAGAAAAAGGCCATTAAGAGATTTCAGGTCATGAATGACATTGTGTATGAGAAGGTCATGGAACATGCTGGGAAAAATCAGGTAAGTCCTTTGCAAAGTATTTCATTTTAAATGTTAATGAATGATGTGTTTGTGAAATCTGTAAAGCACACCTAGAAAAGAACTCATATATTTCTCTTTGTATTTAATAGGCTGTGGCAGTTAAGCAACATGCTAATATTAGCTTAATAACTTAAAGAGAAAAGTAGTGTTAATAGATATTGATAAGTGATGATTTCTCTTCTTACGATTGGTCTCCTTTTCACTTTTACTTATTGTCTAGGTATTGGTGTTTGTCCACTCTCGTAAAGAGACGGGCAAGACAGCACGGGCCATTCGTGACATGTGCCTGGAGAAGGACACTCTGAGTGCATTCTTGAAGGAAGGCTCTGCATCCACTGAGATTCTGAGGAGGGAAGCTGAGCAAGTGAAGGTAATGGAACTTGATTACCAATAGATACATTTTTGTTTGTTTTTCTCACACCTGACATTACATTGCCCCTACCCCTTTCTTCAGATTTCCTCTTCATTTATATGTTGACTCCTTCCCACCTCCCCTATACCCTAGTTGGAACAAATTCTCATTTTAATTCGGAGTATTCCAAACTCAAAGTTTGTATTTTAATTGGAATATATAATTTTAGGAATATTTGAATTAGCCAGTTTGTTAGGGATATAAAATCTCTGATGTAAGCTCTCATAATAGAAAGATTTTTTTATTTCTTTCAGAATTTGGAGTTGAAAGATCTCCTTCCCTATGGTTTTGCTATTCATCATGCTGGCATGACAAGGTAAGAAACAATATTAACATTGATGTTTTTTAAGTTTTTTTTATTTTATGTAAGACTTGTCAACCAATATTTACTTACATGTTTTATATTCATAATATCATATGATATGTAACTTGTAAAAGAGATAATACTGAGATATTGACTGAAAATTTTGAGTGAAGATTTTTTTTTCATAAACTCCAATACTAAATGAATGTATATAAATTGAATATTTTTCATGTTGAATCTATCATGCCTGTTCTCCAGAGTTGACCGCACCCTGGTGGAGGATCTGTTTGCTGACCGTCACATCCAGGTCCTGGTGTCCACAGCCACCCTAGCCTGGGGGGTCAACCTGCCAGCACACACGGTCATCATCAAGGGAACCCAGGTGTATAACCCAGAGAAAGGAAGATGGGTGGAACTGGGGGCCCTGGATGTCATGCAGGTGGGTTGTACTGTCAGAAAGTTGTTCATGTTCCTACTTGTATGGATGAAAAAGAAGAACTACCTGACAACATAACATATCAGCATTCATCATCATCATCAAGGCCTTGAGTGGGTTTGTTGTTTAGGAAAAGTAGACAACAACAAACATCAAACTACTTCAATTTTCTAGTTATGCCCTATGTGAAGATGATTTCAAGTGCATTGGAGTTGGTTTCATTATAGTTTGAAACTGCAGACTGTATTTAAAATAGTGTATTTACACTACTTGGTCACACACTTCACTCTTATGGTGACTACATCTGTTTTGATAAAATATTATTATTTTTGTCATAATTGTCATTATTAGATGATGGGCCGTGCTGGCCGTCCCCAGTATGACACCAAGGGGGAAGGTATCCTCATCACCAACCACAGTGAACTGCAGTATTATCTCTCCCTCATGAATCAACAGGTGAGACATTTTGTCTATTTTAAGTGACATTTTTGTAGATTTATTGCTGACAATTTGATTTATTCCAATTTTTTAAACATGTGAATCAGAAAAATGATTATTAGGAACAAATCGGGATTTTGACTGATTAATCTTGTTTAAATAGTTCAGTGAGTTGAAAAGTTTGTGCCTTATTCATATTTTTGAAACAAAAAATAAAAAATAATAGAAGAAGCGTTTATTCTAGTTGCCCATAGAAAGCCAGTTCATAGCCAAGTTGGCAGACAACCTGAATGCAGAGGTTGTCCTGGGAACAGTGCAAACAGTGAAGGATGCTGTACAGTGGTTGGGTAAGTAAGAAATAAACACTCACCCTAAAACATTAGATTTAGAATATTTTGAAAGAAAAAATATATTCATATTTTGGATCGTTAATTGTGGCTTTTTTTATTAAGTCCATTTGATGTTTTTTTGTTTTTTTTCAAATTGCATTTGTTATCTCAATTTTTTTAGGTTAAAAACTTTCTGACCTTGCAGTTTTTAAAAAGAAATCTGGTGAAATATGTGTTGTATGATATTATATTATTATTTTACCCAGGATATACATACCTTTATATCCGTATGTTGAGGGCCCCCACCCTGTACGGGATAGCCCATGATGACCTAAAGGATGACCCCTGGCTGGAGCAGAGGAGGAAAGATCTGGTCCACACGGCAGCCATGATGATAGATAAAAATAACCTGATGAAGTATGACAAGAAATCTGGACATTTTCAGGTATGGCACTATCTGGTTATTGATTTGGCTATTGATGAAGAAAATTGATTCAAACTAGTTATAGCATTATTTAAACGATAATTGGTCAATGTGTTTGTTTTAAAAGATAACTTATTGTTATATTATTTGAAATTAGTAATTGCATCATGGGATACCCCAAATGAATACCCATGGGGACAATGGGTAAAAATCTGTTTACTGGAGTTGAATGGTATTTAATAAAATGAGTTTAATATTTCAGGTGACAGAGCTTGGCCGTATTGCCAGCTACTATTACTGTACCAATGACTCCATGTCCACTTACAACCAGCTTCTGAAGCCTACACTTAGTGAGATTGAACTGTTTAGAGTGTTTTCTCTGTCCTCTGAGTTTAGGAACATCACAGTCAGAGAAGTAAGTGTTCCCTAAATCCATCTCTTAATACAGATGGTAAAGCTGGTTCCAAACTATTTAATACGTATTTAGTATCTTATTTAAAACATTTGCCTGAAACAATTATTTTTTTTTTTTTCTTGCGATTATTTAATTGAATGTTAAACCAAAATGTGGGTCTCCAGTTGTGCCTTTGCTTTTAACAGTTTCTTTTTCACGAATTTTAGGAAGAGAAGCTTGAGCTGGCCAAGTTGTTGGAGAGGGTACCTATTCCTATCAAAGAGAGCATTGAGGAGCCCAGTGCAAAGGTAAGGTTTGAATGTATTCTTATTTTTAAATCAGTGGAAGAGGAGTATTGATATCTTCATGAATAGGGTCTGCTTTACTGTTGAATATGGTGGAATTTGGCATCCTTATAGAAGGTATTCTCTAAAAGGAAAGGAATAACTTTTTTTACTTTGAAAAAAAAAAAAGCCAGACTTCTGGAAGATTTCAATAATTTTTGCTTTACAGGGTCATTTCGATGGATGGCTAAGACAGTTGCAATCATTTTCCCATATATAAATTTCATGCTTGGTTGAAGTTGAACTTTTGTCATACAGAATGTTAGCATGAAACGAGCCATATATTTTTTGTTCTTTGTAATAGAGAGGTGACACTTGTCAGCAAGTTCATTCACCTCTTTTTCCTGTATTCCAGGTGAATGTGTTGCTGCAGGCCTACATCTCTCAGTTGAAGCTGGAAGGGTTTGCCCTGGTGGCAGACATGGTGTACATCACCCAGTCAGCAGGGAGGCTGATGAGGGCTCTGTTTGAGATAGTACTCCACAGAGGCTGGGCACAGCTGGCTGACAAGGCTCTGGCTCTCTGCAAGATGATTGACAAGAGAATGTAAGTGCTAGATATGAACTGATAAGTCTTTCACTGTAGGACTTTCTCTACAAATCCAGATACACATATCATTAACATTGTTCAGTATGATGTTTGACATATTGATCATACTTTAGTTAAATTACAGAAAGGCTTACATTTAGACAAAGAGAAGTGAGAAATGTCTTATTTGGAATACATTCATTTGGTTACGATGCTTCTTAGGTGGCAGTCAATGAGCCCACTTCGCCAGTTCAAGAAAATACCAGAAGAGGTCATCAAGAAAATCGAGAAGAAGAACTTCCCCTGGGAGAGATTCTACGACTTGGGCCACAATGAAATTGGAGAGTTGATCCGTATGCCCAAGTTGGGGAAAACCATCCACAAGTATGTCCATCAGTTTCCAAAACTGGAGCTGGCGGTCCACATCCAGCCCATCACACGGTCCACTCTCAAGGTAGAACTGACCATCACGCCAGACTTTCAATGGGAGGAAAAGGTGCATGGACACTCAGAGGTAAGAGGCTAGCATCTCTGCATTACTGCCCTGTGTATTTGGAGTTGAACTAAAGTTTGTATTACGGCACAATTTTGTTAATATGACATGCACTCTTGTAAGTGTCAGTTTCTAATACGCATAGATGAATATAAACTTTCACAAGACCGTGACCTCTGAAGTTTTTACCTTTCATTGGGTGATGTGTTTATGTGGCAAACAGTCTGGCAAATAAAGACTATGACATGTTCACTATAGTGGTACACTTTACAGATTTTGCTGTTTATGAAGTTATTTAAAGTGATAGAGCCATTATTTTAAAATGCTTGCTCTTTATTTTCAGGCTTTCTGGATATTGGTAGAAGATGTAGACAGTGAAGTGATCCTTCATCATGAATATTTCCTACTCAAAAAGTAAGTTTTCCTGCATTTTTCTCACAGTTAGTTGTCAAGAGTACAGTTACTGTTGTATATGCCACTGTATTATAAATACATCCATTTGAATACATAAAAGCTTGTTGAGAGTATAATGTCTGCAAATATGATTACTTTATTTCCAGTAAATACGCACAGGATGAACACATAGTGAAATTCTTTGTTCCTGTGTTTGAGCCGCTGCCTCCCCAGTACTTCATACGGGTGGTGTCAGACAGATGGATAGGTGCCGAGACCCAACTCCCTGTCTCGTTCCGTCATCTTATCCTGCCAGAGAAGGTGCCGCCCCCTACAGAACTGTTGGACCTGCAGCCCCTGCCCGTGTCTGCCTTGAGGAACCCCCACTTTGAGCAGCTGTATCAGGAGAAGTTCCAGTTTTTCAATGCTATTCAGACACAAGGTAAAGAAAATATCTATTCTTTTTCCTGGACGTACAAGAGTTGAATATTTGAAATCGTGTTAGTATTAGATGTTAACATTTGTAGCTTGAGGATTGTGCATATACATGACTTAGTGACATTTACCCTATATGTCTGATGCCTGTAACTTGACTAATGTTCCATTGCTTTACTTACTTCTTTTAAATGAAGTACATAAATAGAATTCCAGAAGAATATTAGAGAATGAAATGAATATTTTAGTGTTAAATAATATGAGAATTGCCCATTTTTCAGTGTTTAACACTGTGTACAATGGAGATGACAATGTGTTTATTGGTGCCCCTACTGGCAGTGGGAAGACCATCAGTGCAGAGTTTGCTATCCTGCGTATGCTGACACAGAGTCCAGAGGGACGCTGCGTATATGTCACACCAAAGGATGCACTGGCTGACCAGGTAACTGGTACATTCAGTATTAGAAGCAGCAGTAGCTTTCTATCAAATAAGAATTCCCAGTTTCTATATAGTAATCTGATATTGAAATTCCTCTCTCGGCAGTCAAAAAAATTTTTTAAGTGAAAAGATTTTTATGGTCTTTTACATAGATTTTGTTGGTGAAGCCAACCGCTGTTTTAAATTTGTTCATTTGATAACAGTATTTCAATACAATATTTACAGATCTACGCAGACTGGCACAACAAATTTGCTCTCCAGCTGGGAAAGAAGGTTGTTCAGCTGACAGGAGAGACTGCCACAGATCTCAAGCTACTGGCCAAGGTAGGTTTACTACACAGCAAAATGTGTAAGACATAACAAAATGAGGACAAAGGAATTGATGTGTCCATTTGTAATGGTAAATTGTTAGGGTGGGTACAAGTTATACCTACCTAAAAAAATCAACTAGCACCAAAACTGATAAAACCAAAATTTTGATAGCACCAAAACTGATTATTCATTCTAATACATTTAAAAAGTACAATTTTCATGATTATTACTCAAGTGTTTTGTAATTATGATAATGTAGCGGTAAACCAATAAATAATCTATAGTGGATGTTACACTGCTGATGAATGTAATGCAACTAATGAAAAGCCTCGTCTCTCTAGGGTAACATCATAGTGAGTACCCCAGAGAAATGGGATGTGCTGTCCAGGAGGTGGAAACAGAGGAAGAATGTCCAGAATGTCAACCTCTTCATTGTGGATGAACTGCATCTGATTGGAGGAGAGGATGGGGTATGTCTAAAACTGAGCCTTCTAAAGAAAAATGAAAATAAAAAACAGTAGCAAAAAATGGAGTTCCATTTTCTTTAGGATAAATAATTGTAGTTTTTTTTTTTTTTTTTTTTTTTTTTTTTTTTTAATTAGAGGCCCTTAATGATGTTTTACAATAGCAAATCATGCAAATGCCAGCATGTAAAAGGGTTCACTGCCTTTCAACACAGAGGCTTCTATTGTTCGTGTTATTTAAAAGTACTAATTGAAATTAATTATAAAAGTTTACTGAATTGTGATTATCTAAAATTAAGTGATTAGGTTTGGAAAAGCTTTTATCGAACAGAGCATTTATTTGTTGAAAATTGACATGTATCTACTCTGACAAAATCTTCATCTTTTTGCATAATTGCAGCCTGTACTGGAAGTCGTCTGCTCCAGAATGAGGTACATTTCCTCGCAGATAGAAAGAAACATCCGTATAGTTGCCCTCAGCTCCTCCCTGTCTAATGCTAAAGACATTGCTCAGTGGTTGGGCTGTAGCACAACTGGCACCTTTAACTTCCATCCCAATGTCAGGCCTGTGCCATTAGAGTTGCACATACAGGTAAGGAGTTTTTTTTTTTTTTTTTTTTTTTTTTTTTTGTTAAAATGGTCAGATATATGTTACCATTTGACAGAAGTTTTATGTTGTTGATGCATGTTTTTTTTTTCTATTTGCATAGATATGTCATTTCATCGATATTTTAAAATTAGTCTCAAGAAGTCTGTAAAAGATTAAGAATCATGCCAACTGTCTTAGTTTCCAATGGCTTGAATTAAATAAATCTTTGTGTATGTGTCAGTCTTCAAGCAAGATAAAAAACTGAAAAGTATCATTTTTGTTATTCAGAAAATAGATAAATGCTGATAGTAGTATAAAATATGATTTATGGTATTAATGATTATAATAACTATTCAGGGTTTCAACATCAGTCACAATGCCTCTAGACTGATGGCTATGGCAAAGCCGGCATACCAGGCAATCAATAGACATTCCCCAAAGAAACCAGCTCTGGTGTTTGTGCCATCTCGTAAGCAAACACGCCTGACCGCCATTGATATACTGACATTTGCCGCAGCAGACAGGCAGCCCAGCAGGTTCTTACATGTAAAGGAAGAAGATTTGGAGCCCTTCTTGGAGAAATTAACAGACAAGGTAAAAATGAAATTGAACTTGTAAAAAGAAAGTAGCAGTATGTGAGCATTATCAAAATTGTATGTATGTTATTGTATGTTTTAAGCTTATTTCATATGTTTACATTTTCTACCACTTTAAGAGTTTAGAATAGTATACCATTCTTTTTATTATAGGTTAAGAAACAAGATAATAGGTTTATAATTAGTATTTTAAATGCACAGTTGTAGGTGGAATTTTACTTTTGAAACATTTTAGCTTTTGCATTGCTAATTTGTTGCTTATTTAATGATTTCAGACTTTAAAAGAGACGATAAGCAATGGAGTGGCCTATCTCCATGAGGGACTGACCGAAGTGGAGCGTAGGGTTGTGGAGCAGCTCTTCACCAGTGGCGCCATACAAGTTGTTGTTGTTTCTCGAAGCTTGTGTTGGGCTCTTCAGGTTGTCAGCCACCTGGTGGTGGTCATGGATTCACAGTTCTATGATGGCAAGATTCATGCTTATGAAGACTACCCTGTAACGGATGTTTTGCAGATGGTTGGACGGGCTAACAGACCTAATGAAGATGATGCTGGAAAGGCTGTAATTCTCTGTCAAAGCAGCAAGAAGGACTTCTTCAAGAAGTTTTTGTATGAGCCTTTACCAGTTGAGGTGAGTTTGCATTCAATAGAACCATGTGGTGGTCTTTATTGTGCCTTCTTTGTGAAAAATTGGGTTTTGTCTAAAGAATTGAGAAGTTAAACTGTAGCCTAAATAATGAAAAAAAAAGAATCTCCATTATCTTCATTTAAAGATTCATTTTATCCAATTTTCTACAGTCTCACTTAGACCACTTCCTGCATGACCACTTCAATGCAGAGATTGTCACCAAGACCATTGAGAACAAACAGGATGCTGTGGACTACCTGACTTGGACTTTCCTCTACAGGAGGATGGCGCAGAATCCTAACTATTACAACTTGCAGGGTAGGTGGGATACTTAATACTTGTTTTTTTAACAGAGGCAAAAAAGAAGATCTAAGAACAGTACAGGAAATTATTTATAGACAGTGGAGGTTCATTGGGCAGGAACTGTTTTTAATATAAGGAGAAAAATTCTGTACAATGCAATGTACTTTTGATTGATTATTATTTTAAAACATATTTTAGGTGTGAGCCATCGTCATTTGTCAGATCACCTGTCTGAACTGGTGGAGAACACACTGCATGACTTGGAACAGTCGAAGGTAGGCTTGGGAATGTGGGATATTGCCCTTGTTAACACATGGTGCTGGAAATGAAATTTGCTGTCACAGATAACACTTATATATGTATATTATTGCATGTCCATTACAGTTTTAAGACTGCATCTCAAACAATGTTGCATGCATGGTATATGTTCTCAAATTAGTGTCCCAAATCAGTTTGCTGATGTTCTGTTTTATATTTTAATATTTTGTTTGCTAAATGGACTGTTTTTGAAGAATTGTCTTCATATATTGCAGTGTATCAGTATAGAAGATGAGATGGACGTGTCACCTCTGAACTTGGGAATGATTGCAGCCTACTATTACATCAATTACACCACAATAGGTATGCATTAGTACCCTTTAAACTAACAATTGTGCTCACTTCAAAGTGTTTTTTTTAGTTAGGGTGTTAATAAATGTTTAACTAAGAACAGTTATTTTTGGGAGGAATACTAAAAAAATTATGTAAGTGTAACTGGCAGTATTTAATTTTTCTTATTTCAGAATTATTCAGCATGTCTCTAAATAACAAGACAAAGATCAAAGGTCTGATTGAGATCATCTCCAATGCTGCAGAGTATGATAGCATTCCAATACGACACAGGGAGGCCAATATTCTCAAACAGGTATTGACATAATATATAGAAATATAACATATCAGTTATGTGGTAGAGTCAAATGTGTACATTTTTAGTAAAGAGAAAAGCGTTTTGTTGCTTGTGGGCAGGTAGTTTGTTTTTGTGTCCTGTGTAACAATGTATTACCATTTGTAACTTTTATGTTGATCATGTGATGCAGGAGTTTTCTAGTCTGTAAGGCATTCTTTATAGACACAAGTCTTAAATGTATTTTTGTCCATAGACATAAATGATGTCATTCATATATCATTTTATTTCCTTATGTAGCTTGGAAGCAGGCTGCCCAACAAGATCAATAACCCCAAGTACACTGACCCCCATGTGAAGACCAACCTCCTCCTCCAAGCTCACTTGTCACGTATGCAGCTTCCTGCTGAGCTGCAGTCTGACACTGAAGATATTCTCACCAAGGTATGCTACTTCCTTCTCAATTTCTGATTTTAATACCATGTGAGGTATGGCCTTTTTTAAATCTGTTGTATGTAACTAAGACAACAAAAATAAAGGTAATGTTTAAGTGTAGACCCAAACAGTTGTAAACTTTCATCAACTTTGTCTATGGAAATATGGTGCAGCCAATTTATTATTTATAAAGTGATTTCATACTAGTTATGTCAGACTAGTTGTGGTGAAAGTACACTTTTATTAAAAAACAAAGGTAGAGAGAGAGGGGTAGGTGCTTATTTATATCTAGAAGTAATGTTCTCATTTGACTCTTATCTCCAGGCTATCCGTCTGATCCAAGCCTGTGTTGATGTGTTGTCCAGCAATGGCTGGCTGTCCCCTGCTCTAGCAGCCATGGAGCTGGCCCAGATGGTCACTCAGGCTATGTGGGGCAAGGACTCCTACCTGAAGCAGTTGCCACATTTTACTGCAGAAATCATCAAGAGATGCCAAGAGAAGGTGAGGGTGAAACTGCTCTTCATGTTGTTCAAAATCTTTTTTTTTTTTTTTTTGCATTTTATTGTTTATGGTCACATTTAAAGATTAAATTATATATGTCAAGATCTGCGGGAACTTAGTGTGGCTGCGTTTTGAAAATGAAAATTTTAATTCTTTTTTACTAGACAGTTAAAAAGTTAAAAACAAGTTCATTTCTAAAGTTAAAAACAAGTTCATTTCTAAAAAAAAAACAGTTATTAATTTATCCAAATTATAGAATGAATGCCAGACATTATAGAATGGATGCCAGGCATTAACATAAGTTAGGAGACCTGTATGCAATTTGAAATGACATGGCAGTGCATTCTCTAGTATTAATGATTTTGACTTCAGAACATAGACACCGTGTTTGATGTGATGGAAATGGAAGATGATGAGAGGAACACCCTCTTGAGTCTGTCAGAGACAGAAATGGCTGATGTGGCCAGGTTCTGTAATAGATATCCCAACATTGAAATGACCTATGAAGTGGAGGAGAAGGACAATGTTAAGAGGTATGGATGACACAGGAAATGACTAAAACTGTACTAAGACTTACTCTGTGAAATAGATTGCTGTTTTCCCACCCATAGTTACAGGTCATGCAGCTAGCACATAATTGGAGAGACATGTTTGTTGCCTTATCTCCAAGATATATAATTTGTTGAAATAATCTACTTCCTGGCGTTAAGTCTTGACTAAGCGCTGTTTTAGGCCAATGACAGCTGAATGCATTAAAACTGTTATTGTCCCTTATCCCTCCTTCATGATGCCATTGTGTAAACCTCAATATAATTTTTTATGAATAAGTTTAAAAAAAACAAAAAATGTTAATTTTCAAGGGTATGAATTATAATGTCAAATAAAGTTATAGAAAAGTGTTCGGCATGTCTGCAAATTGTTTTGAAATCAAAGTGGAAAACTTATCAGTTTCTCATTATTCTGCATCATAGTGGATCTCCAGTGAATGTTGCAGTAACATTAGAGAGGGAGGATGAAATTGCAGGCCCAGTGGTTGCTCCCTTCTTCCCACAGGTAATAAAAGAATTAGAAAACATTATAGAAATTGCGGATTGTAAACTACACCTCAGACGGACAAATGTTGTGTTCATTAAATTAAAATTTTCAGATGCATGGTTACAGTTTGGGTTGCCAGTATTTAAGGAAACCGTTTCCCTAGTGTTCTTAAATTTTATATCACATGTATTTCGTCTTTTCCAGAAACGCGAAGAAGGCTGGTGGGTTGTAATTGGTGACCCCAAGTCCAATTCTCTGATCTCCATCAAACGCCTGACTTTGCAACAGAAGGCCAAGGTCAAGTTGGACTTCGTGGCACCCTCTCCTGGTAAACACAGTTACGTCCTGTACTATATGAGCGACTCCTACATGGGCTGTGACCAAGAGTACAAGTTTAGCATTGATGTTGGCGAGGGAGAGAGTGGAAGCGAGGACAGTGGAAGTGAGAGCGATTAATTGACTTCGCACAGTGTATTGGTTTGATTACATTATGGATAAGATATGTAAAGTACTTTGACCCAAGTGATAACAATAATGGGAGTGTTTAAAGCAAGGAAAGACATTAAAGAATTTGAATATCAGCAGAAAAGCATACAATCCAATCTGTTTGTAGCTTTTGATAGAGGAACCAATTATTTATACTAGAAGTTGATGGCACTCTTATCTCCATCTTTTTGTTACATTTTCTTAAAGGAAATGGATTACTAACTCCAAAATGACATTTCATGTGTTTTATGACATGTACCTATTCTTTAACAAATCAAGTCTGAATAAATTTCAATTGTAGACAATACAAATACAAAGCAATTGACTGATTTTGGAGTAATGAAGTGATCACTGTACATTATAGATTTTTTTTGTAAAGAATTGAAAATATTAAAACATTAGTTTTAGAAATTCAATTGTTTTGCTTTCTTTTATTTGAAACTGTTTAAAAACAGTCCATGACTGTATTCTCTCATGTAACTGCCCAGCCCCTAAAAAAATCTGGCATTGGAACCAAGGAGACAATTGTTGGGTTGGGTGTAAGCACACAACTGGGCACTTGACGTAGGTCTGAACCCATGCCTAACTTTATCTTTTTAGCTATTTCATACATTATGAAACACACACAGGGGTTTGGGTAACCCAACAAGAATGAAATTGCCTCTACTGAGAAATACATAAATTTGTCTGTCGAGGAATGCATTACACCTGATCATCTTAACTTTGACGGGAATTTCATCCAATTTTATGAATTCTAGAGAATACCTCTGGTAGATAGCACTCTACCTGGTGGCACAATTAAATATAAACACTTAAAAGAGATAATAACTCTTCGTATGAGATTATATTTCACAATAAAAACACTGAACAACTCAGAAATATCTGTTTTGATATCTGAGCTTGTCTTTGGACCACGTTACCTCCATTGATGGCTATACTCTGTCATAATCTCTTAAGAGATTATAACAAAAAAAAACCTTTTAAGAAAAAACCAGGTAAAAATGGATTCATTTACCATTGGTAAGTATGGGGTAAAGGTCCAAAACGAAGAGTTATTATACCTTTAAAAAAGCTTTTCTGAAATATGATCTTGTATGAAGCTGCTTGAAGTTTATTTTTATTCCATTTAACTCCAGATTTTTTTCAATTAAATTTTAGATTAATTAAATTCCAAAACTACATACTATTGTTTTAGATTAAAGATGCTAGTCATGCATTACTACAGTTCTTCACGAGCAGGATCTTTCATTTCAGCTGATAGTATTCTGTACAGATGTTTTGGCTCCTTCAGAAATGTGTCAATCCTATTAATAATACGTGGCATATCTGATTTGGAAATGCTATTAAATAAATTACCATCATCCAAAAAATGACTTTTCATACAACCTTGATTAAGGAAATCTTTCAGCCTTTGGAGGAATTTAACAAAATAAGATGGAAGTTGGTTTGGAGACCAGTCAATGCCCTGTGTTTCACTTATCAAAGTAAACAAAGTCGTTTTCATGTGATACGACGTCAGGCGATGATGTTTTTTAGTTGTGTTCAGTTCTGGGTCTCTTTTGACGATTGCTTTCATAATTCGCAAGACATCTAAATGGCATGTGGACTTTCTATTGAATTTGGATAAAAGTTCTCTTTCCTCCCGCGCAAATGACCTGCGCCAAACTGTAACTGTCTCAATGTCTTCATCTTTGTAACTTTTTGCTACATATCTATTGCCATTGGAACTAGTTACCAATGGGACAAATTCAATGCGTACAAGAAACTCTTCTCCTTCCAGAATTTCTACTTTGACAGTAGGTCCTTTAAAACCAAGGTTATATTTAAGATTTGGGCTAAATTTTTGGAAGTAATTTAAATTTTCTTGAATGATACTTTGCAAACGGGAGATGACTTTAAAAGGGACAACTTTTAAATTGTCATGTCCACAAAGTTTTGTCCTGGTACAATTAGGAGATTCGATGAAATCGTACCCTGGAGTCTGTGATGCCATGGCTGACAGATGACCAATATCTATGGCTACACTAACATCAAAGTCGTCTGCTGCAATGACTTGAACCCCTTCACTTACGCTGCCAACAAGACCAAGGTTTCCAAATTTTAAACTCTTTTGTTCTCCTTGTAAACGTCTCTCCATCTCTTGTAAGAAATGATCTACTATGTTCCTGTGCTTTGAAACTGTTTCCTGTGGAGGGGCAATTGTCTCAAGGAATGATTGTAAGTTTTTGTGCAGCATTTCCTTATCTTGTAAAAGAGGAATCTGATCCTGGATATCTCCATCTGTTACATTTAACAAAATGTAAGATGTTTAAGTTGCAATTTTTATAGTGTCCAGTTCATATTTCTAAATAGTTTAAATATCATGAACCACTTGAAAAACTATATAAATGTATTTAAAACAAGGCAGCAAAGCTGTCAAATGTACAGACAAAAAGCAGGAAATAACAAAATAGGCTACTGTCAATTCTGATGCAAAAGTACATTATGTTAAACTGCAAATTCAACATCAAATTCTAATTATGCTCAACAGGTAATACCAATGTAAGTAAAATGTGTAACAAACATAAGGCTTCAGGCCCATGGGAGTTCAAGTTCACCCTTTGAAAATGTAAAACTTCCAGAAAAAGAAGTCAATTAGACTGCTTTTCCAACTCAGGCTGCATTTTAGTCCTGTATTTCTTTTTTGAAAGTTTGGCAATCATAAGTAACATGGTTTTCCCATAATGGTCATCATGGCAGCAGCACCCAAAATTGTGTTTTCTTCTATTCTGATGCAATATTACATAATGGTTACCAGCATAATGACAATCAATTTTTAATAATAAAATATACGTATCATGGATTTTCAGAAAATGTGACAAGCATGGGTCTTCAAGCCTGTGGAACTTCAAAGTCACACCTTGAA